TCTCAGCGGTGAAGGAAAACATCGTGAGGAAATCTGCATATTTTCGAAATAATAAAAATATTTGACGACCCGAATGGCGTAGTGGGTAGTGTACCTGCCTCCTGCGCCAGACGGTGTGGGTTCGATCCCCACTACAAAAATTACACTAGGAAAAATATTGTGTGATGAACATGGTGCTTTTCTAGTGTCTGGGTGTTTCTATATGTATAATATTATGTATTTATTTACAAAAGAAAAGTATGTTTAAGTATGTTTATCAGTTTTATAGTACCCATAGTTCAACCTTTGCTTAGTTTGGGACTAGAAAATGTTGTGTACAAATGTGTCCTAAATATTTATTTATTTATTTATTTCGAAGATATGTGAAGTCCGCCGCCAATCCGCAGTGGGGACTGGATTCATTGTAAAAAATCTCGGCCTAATTTCGATCGCGGTATGATTGACAAGCTAATTGCGCGATATAGGTACGTATTGAAATCTAGCAGATAATTATTCATAAAAAATTTAGAGACGTCATTATTCATTTAAGGTGGCTTATTGAATCATGAATGACCTGAGGCTTTGTCTCGACGTGCGTCAATCAATTGGATATCTTAAAATGTTTGCGACATCATGCAGTTTCTAAATAACGTTCTTCGGAAAAAGGAGCAGATAGAATATATATAATAAAATAAAAAGTGAGTTTTGTCAATACGCTTGGAATTTAAAATTGGAAATAGTAAAAATTTTGGTTTTCGATTCATTAAATTCCAAGTTTAAATGAAACATAACATCATAATGAAGACTTAAATTATTAATGAAGACTTACTTAATATTGGTCATATTTGGTCTCCGAAAATATGACCATGTTTCCGAACATTGCAAAAAACTCAAGTGGCTTCCTTCGCCTTCGCAGGAATACCCACATTCTCGCTGTTATACCTCCCAATCCTACTTCCCCTCCTTATCTTAAAAAGAGATTTGAGTTCCTCAGTAACACTCACTGTCACTCTCTTCGCTCCGATAATAACCTGACCTTAAAAAATCCCTCCCATAATACTTCCTTCTACTCCAAATCCTTTTCTGTCGAAGCAGTCAGGCTTTGGAACTCCTTACCGCTTCAAATCCGGCGAGCGCAATCACTGGCAATATTTAAAAGACTCGTTAAAGCTCACTTTTTTCCTCCCTAAGCGTTTTATATTTGTATTATGATATTTTCTTTTTTTTTACTCATAATTTTTTAAAAATAAATTTCCAATGCTTTTAACGGCTTTTGTCCACTTATCGTTCCCTTACCTATAGTTATAATAGCGTATACCTCAAACCCTTCTAACTGATCATTGTATCCTCAGTAACATGGTTGCCTGGAAGAAATCGCTTCTAAGCGATAAGGCCGCCAATTGTACCTTTATGTAATTATTCGTTACTTTTGTAGTTTTGTCTGGTGTACAATAAAGCGTATTTCATTCATTCATTCATTATAGTTAGTGAATAGGAAAGTGATACAAGAAATACGGTGACAACATATTCAAGACATAGGGTCCGGGCACCCTTAGCTTGAGGAACTTGTGAAGAACTTACTTCATTAATACAACCGTTCATGTGAACTTTTTGTTGAATTTGTGAAGAACTTACTTCATTAATACAACCGTTCATGTGAACTTTTTGTTTAGGATGCACTTCTTGTGTATTACATGCACACATGTGCTTTAAAGCATCAAGTGAGGAGCCGCTTAACTAAGCAATGACATGTTCAAATGAACTGTTGCAGAACCATGCAATTGTGAATAACCCACGTGCACTGGTTGGCCAACGAATCACAAGAGGAGTCTAATGAACGCGTTTCGTCGGCGCTGCATCTAATATGGAATTATTATCGTCCGTTGAGCAACGGACGACAAAAGCGCGAGTAGAACCAGTGGGCTGAGGTAGTCTTACTTGATTTACATCAATTTGATTTCAAACTACGCGTTAATCAGCATCGTATATTTAATTTAGCGACTAATATTTGATTTGTCTTTCCTATAACGATATTTAAAACAGGGATTTATATATTGGATTACTCTAAGACCCGATTGGCGTAGTGGGTAGTAACCATGCCTCTTGTGCCAGAGGGCCTGGGTTCAATCCCCACTACTGGAAAAATATTGTGTGATGAACATAGTGTTTTTCCAGTGTCTGGGTGTTTATATATTTATAATATGTATTTATTTACAAAAGAAAAGTATACTGATCAACCACTTATTATTCCCATAGTACAAGCGTTGTTTAGTTAGGGACTAAAAAAGGTTGTGTAAAAGCGTATCCTGATATTTATTTATTATTTATTTAAATCTAAATCGGTATTACGAAGCCAACGTTCAAACTTATGTCATTTTCTTTTTAAGTTTTTAAAGTTGGATAACTTACATAAAACCAATAATGTAATTAATAAATGTAATTAATAGAATATTTACAAAACATTAAGATTAATATTGTAAATAAAACTATGAATTGGACATCTGCCACACCCGTAGAAGAAACTCTTTACTAAGCCTTATAGATGATGTTTTATCATAACGTTTCTCCCGATCCAAAAGAAGAAAGATAATGTGTCTCTTTTTTATATTATACGCAAGGCCATGAGAGGACGTCTTCTTGTAATGCTGTTGCCAACATACTTAAATCTACACAAACAGAAAATATTCACGGTATTATTTTTAATCGACATAATTAGAGGATTTTTGTGAACATTTGGCAAGCGGGCTGGCGGTTAACGTGATTTTAAGTGATTACCACCGCCCATGGACATTTACAACACCTAAATGGTTGCATACGTCAGCCATTAAAAAAATCGGCACCGATGAGGGTTATGATGACGAGTCATCATCCTGCCCTTATACATTGTCAAATTACATAAAATTATGTGCTGTAAGCAATTTGGCTATGTTTTTTACTAGCGGCCGCTTGCCTAACGTAAACCCTCCTTGGGAAATATTTGATTACCTCAGTCATCACATGAAAAGCGAAAGTATTACTTCACGTCAACCGTGGTACTTTTCCGTACGAGCCTGCCCATTATGGAGTAGAATATGCTACGTGGCGCTACCATAGTATTGCGTAATGCGTTTACAAAAATGAAAAATGATGAATCAATGGCGCAGTTGCCAAGGTATTCTGCTTCAGCGCCGGGGGTCGTGTGTTCGATCCCCACACGGGACAATTATTTATATGACCCTCAGATTGTTTTTTCGCATTTAGGTCATTTTTCGCATTTCGCAAGTAAGTTCAACGGTTTCGTCTGGTGAGTGAGGTGGCCGGAGCCCAATTTAAAAAAGTTGTCAACGCACCTAAAACCCTCTGGTGTAACAATGTCCATGGGCGGCGGATTCACTTATTATCAGGCGAACCGCCTGCTCGCAGGGCAACTTTTCACATAAAAAAAGGTGTTTAAGGTTGGGTTAAGCTCACGTAAACTTATTATTTTTTAAAACGTCCTTACAACACAGGTAATGTTATCCTAAAGGCCAATGTTAAAAAAGAATGACAAAAAAAAAAGATTAACTTACGAAGATTGTATAACCGTTATCAATCGAAAACCCTAGGAAATGTTTGCAAGGGAAACAATCATTGCGATCGATGTACTTGTCGTGAACAATCAATTACACTTTCTTGCGTTGATAGTTGGACGATGAAACAATCCAGTTGTCGCATCTAGAATAGGAATTATGAATTTATGCCAAAGCGTGTTTAGTCATGTGCAAATAAAAGAGAATTAAATTCATAATATCCTGAATAAACTTTTTCCAAAGTTCAAATTTTAGTACCGTTAGTCAATGACAAATTTAGTAATTAATGTTCTTTTTAGAAATACCGATTTTTATACGGCAATTGTTGATGACTCCAAACACAAAATTATTTTTGTAATATTAAACTTTCGTATACTACAAATAATAACTGATTTACCAAGAAGCTATAATTATATAAAAGAAAATTGATTAGATTCCTTTATAGTTTTACTTTCTTTTATAATTTTGATCAACGTTGAAATAACTTTTTTATTATTAAAAAAAAATAGTGTCAGTTCAACTACTATATCAATTAACCATTTTTAGAAAACACGATTGTCTCGAATGCTTTGAATATAATTTGCTTTCAGACGTTTCGCAAAATGTCTCGGTTGAATGTTTGCCCGCAACAGAAGTATCTGCTAAATAACGGGGTCATAGTTCAGTAATTATCGACTCAGTTATATCGCGGATCTCTCTGATGCTAGACGGCGTGGTCGGTGAATTAAAGACGTTTATCATTCTTTCGATAATTTACGTAACGGTGATCTATGATCTCAGATTGAATAACCGCTGTCGAAATGTTGATAGATATTTCTTTGTCGCGATTGTGTTCAGTAAAGCATCTGTACTGAATGTCAGTATGAATATTGAGTTTGATTTGATGATTTCGGGAAAAATCCCAGAAAAACATTCGTAACTTCCCCAATATTGCAATCAAACATTGATAATTTCTTGTATTTACGCAATTACATATAGTAAATGTAATAGATTTATCGCGTTTATTTTTATTTCCCGACGTTTCGAACCCTTTTCAGAGTCGGTCTGTCCCGTGATCATGAACTTTAAAATAGTAATAAACGCGATAAATCTGTAAAAACAGTTTCGTTTATCAAAAATTGAGTTATTTTTTACTAAAATTTAGTTTAGACATAAGTCTTGAGATACAAAGATCACATTTATTTGAATTTCTCCAGAAATAAAAAACAAATCAACAAACCCACATATATTTATTTAAACGTATCGCAATTGCAATATACATATATTATATATTGTATAAACAATAATTAAACAGTTACAACACTGACTAGATGAAACTGACTGAATGATTTGACACACAAAATTGACTTATAATCCTATGGATCTAATATATATTCCGATATTAGCGGACATTGGGTACTTATCACGAACGCAGCTGATCCGCGTTCGGGGAATTAGTTAATCCAAAAGGCAAGATTTGATAGGCCCAGATTATATGAAGTAGAAGGAGTGAGGCTGGAGTTCCAGCTGAGCCATCTTGGCCATGATGCGGTGCAGCCGCCGCTGGGCGCGGGCTTCGGGCCCCCCCGGCGTCTGGCCCGCGCCCTGGACAGCGCACTGGCTCGCGATGAGCGCGCGCACTGGCTCGGGCCGCGCGTCCAGACAGCCAGCCAGCCGCTGCTCCACGTGTCGCGGCATCTCGACACGCACAAATCTCGTCACAGTCTTTGCGATTATTAAGTCCCGTCCTATTCTGACTGTACGGTTTACAATGGTCAAAGTGGTCGTCTCACCATTTGCTATTGCTCACCGTATTCAGACTTAGGGTACTTCCGCAAACAGTTATATAATTTGTTTTTGTTTCCTAGATTCCGTCTTTTTGAAACATTCTTGTATACTTCATTCCCTAATATAGAATTCGTTTTTAAAGAAAAATAGGACCTCTTATTTTTAATATGACCAATTAACCCGGGGAGTGCAGATCATTTCTGAGAGAGGTCTCTCATTAAAATAGAAAAATAAACACAAGACTAAGATTAATAGTAGCTTATTATTAAAGATTGGTCATATTAGCAATGCAATGTAAATCGAAGAACAGTCTCTGAAGAAACATTCTGAAAACAGTGAAATAAATGTGCAAAATCGTTTGCGCGTATTACTATCTATGTAGATAGGAATTAATCTTTTTATGTACAGTTATATAAACATTTTACAGTGTTTTTAAACCATAATTTGGTAGTCACTTGCAGGCGACCTTCCGTACTTCTTACAATTGACTTACAGTGAACGATGGTGAATGCAGTATAGGGGTCCACAGCGGTAGAAGTTTGTTGAGGACCGTGGAGTTACATTCAAGCAGGGACTCTAGCAGGCTGATGAAATGTAGATTAACCGTTTCCGCGAGCTGGTGGCCAAATATAATCGTTATCGGATAAATTGTACAGTCATAGATTGTTTACAGAAGACGTAGTCCTGGACACACATCCAAAATCCGACAACAACCCATAAACAAAAAACATTTTTTGGGGTGGATTGAATAATGAATCTAAACTTTTCTCGAATCCACTTTAACAACCACAAAAAATTTCATCTAATTCGCCCCAGCCATTTAGAAGGAGTGTAGTCACGTACACACACAGAAAACTATATTTATAACATCGACTTCTTAATAAAATATGAAAGCTAAAGTGGCCAAATATATTAGGCACTAATGAATACTTGATACAGAGAGTTAGAGAAAGTCAACATAAATTCAACCTTATTGCCAGTGAAAAGAGTTGAGAAATGAAACAAGGAATGCCACTGACCAGTTTTGACTGCACGGTGACCTGCAGTATGCTGGGCACCAGCTTGCACCAGAAGTCGAGCAGCACGCACACGGCTGTGTTGTGCGGCTCGCTGGCCGGCGGGGCCCCACCAGCCAGCTGCTCCAGGTACAGGGTCCACAGCTGGCACAGCACGAAGGCGTGGAACAGCGCGCTCATCCGCTGCCCACCTGCCTTCGACTGCTCCACGTATGACGACATGATAGTCTGCCACCGAATAAGTATAGCTTGTAGCTGTGGTAGGGCCACGCAACTCGACTGTGCAAATAATACATGTGGAGTTAAGTATACCTTAAAAAGTGGATTCCGGCTACCTCAATTACCAGACGAGGTAGGCCTTTGTATTTTGATGTACAGCCATTCTTGCAAATGCGTGTCGATTGCCACCTTCCATAACGTAAAATGACAGCCTATATATGCCGACTACGTCTGTGTAGAATTGCGTAACATTCAGACGGAAAGACGGATATACTCGTATATAAAACTATGTATATAAATTATAGCCTATGTCTTATTCTGATGTATAAGCTATATTATTGTAAAGTTTCATTAAAATCCATTCAGTAGTATTTGCGTGAAAGAGTAACAAACATCCATCCATACATAAAACTTTCGCATTTATAACATTAGTAAGGATATGTCCCTGCTATATATCCTTCTATTTAATCGGAGCTTGATATTCAAACAAACCCACTGCTGAGCAAAGAAGTCCTCCTCTTCCTGCATAAAAAAACCTAAAAATGAGAAAAGCGTGACTTTATTGACCTGTATGTGGTCGGTGATGTGGCAGGTAGCGTCTTGTGGCACGGGCTGGTGCGGCGGGTGTGGTGGGTGTGGCGGGCGGGCGTTGCACAGCGCGCCCACCACCAGCCACGACACCTGGCGCACTCGCCCCACGCATTCGCACACTTCTCGGGACCTGCCACAACATGATGGTGAACTCCTTGCCAACTCCTGCTTAATAGCAGTCCGATTATGGTAGACTTCGGTAACAGGGGTGGTAGGTTCGATTCCCACACGGGATGACTATTTGTGTGACCCACAGATAAGTGTTTCGGATATGGAAGCGGACATTTCTGCTTTAAAGTACTTTTTCAGGTAAATCTATAAACCTGAGATCCCATATTAAAAACAATTATTATTTTCGAAAGTTAGCTTACATAAAATATGAAGAAAGTATCTATTTTTAGAATTACTATAGATTGTTTCTATTAAAAAATATTGGTATTGATTTACGTCAATAACCAACGTTGAATAACAATAAATAAACATTAATTACGTTAACTGCAGCCGAAGGACCCAAAAAAAACCGAAACTGATTTAAAAATACTTTATTATAATATAAAAATTACAATATAATTATAACTAGAAAGGTATTGAATCTGATCGATGCTAGATCTAGAATGAATATAATTATTAGAACAAAAATTAGGAAATCGAATATTGGCGAGCGCCGATTGCATCCGTTGACGTCAATGATCACGTTCCTGCTGAGTTGCGCCTCGTGCCACTGGAATGTATCGGGGCCGCTGCTGTGTAGGCTCTTTACTTATTGGGCTATGTTGTAACTCCTCCGCCCTCAGAACAGCAACTATTTCAGAACTTTGAGCGAAAAAGTTGCTGGTAATCCCTTTTCCATTTTCGATTCTCCGGGCTTTTCATAGTTATGTTGCATGTGATTCTGGACCGGTTCTTGCTTTTTAGTCTTGTAGTAGTAACGAGCTGAGATAATTATAGCAATTACTACTATGCTTGATAGTACGGCGTAAAAAGGAAATGTTGTATGATAAAGGGCCTGGAGATGCATCCTCCGCAGGTGAAGTGGTTCTTGCATCATGAGTTGATTCTGGGCTGCATGTAGTTCTTTTAGGTCGATTCTGTTTAGGCTGATTCGTTCGTGGTATCGCCGGGGCTTCTTCTGCGTTTGAATCCATCGGTATTTTCATCAGTTTCAGGGGATGACCATCCACTTGGTCGTTACTATTAGTGATGGTAAATTCATTCGTTCGCAGGAAGCAATTGATGGGTATTGTGGCTAAATAACTGCCTTGTAATGTAGTTATATCTTCACGCCCGCATACTGTATGGACCGTAGTTGGTTGAGGGAAGGATATGGTGTAGTGCTTGTCATCTAGGCGTTCCATGGCTTCTTTTGATAGTATGATCTTAGTCATCTTACAGGATTTTGTTATCGACTGATTAACGATGAGGATCTGGATACAATCGAATTGTGTTCGGATTTGAGTGTTCGTTTCTTTTTCGCATAGATACCGAGTACTTAACTTCGGACATTCTGTCTCCATGTACACGAATTTTTCTCTATTAGTTGCTATTAGGGGATAAGGAGGAACGATGGATTGATGATTTTTATTGGGTACAATAGATAAGCGGAATAGGTCGAAAGTGTCTTTGGAAATAATAGGGAATTTTAAAACAATTACTATTTGATTTTCCGTGAAATAATAACCTGACTTAATAATATCATAATATTCTCTAATTTCTAAATTTAATACATGTTCTTTATTATAAATTTTTCTTAATCTAACTAACATGGAATTAATTACTTTGACACTTAACATAGAATGATGGGTGCTCGATGCACGACTAAAAGCTAATATATTTTCTATTCTAATAAGTTCATTAAGCACATCGTCTATATTTTCTGTTAAGATTGTTAGGAGTTGGGCAAACTTAGCATACTTGATTAGGCTACTATCTCTATAACTGGCTCTATCTAATAATTGGGTAAGTGTTGAGTTAATTTTATTTTCATTTTCAGTTATCTGGGATATTACACTATTATGTTGTAACATCCACTCCTTACTAATGCTAATGTAACTATTAAATTCTGATTCGATCTTATCCTGGTTATCCCTCAAAACTTTTATGGCATTGTCATATTTAGCAGCATCCAAATAATCTAGGTTACCGGTTACGCTTTTGATTAGAGAACCTAATCCGTCTACTAAACTTCTCTTAGCGCGATTAGGCTCTAAGCTATTTAATTGCGTTAGTACTTTATTTAATTTGCTAGAGAGATAGTCCATTTGTAATTCGTAAAGTAAGTTGGTGTCATTACTAAGTCTGCTCTTATAGTTCTGTAGCTGTACCTGTAACATGGTTACTTTGTCTCTTATATCGTCAAGTTTTACATATTGAAGAAAGGTATGATAGTGGGTTATGAGTGTAGTTGGTCCAAGTCTAAATGGTAGTAATCCTGGTCCGTCTTCGAGGTATTCAAGTTTTATCTCCTGGGCTTCGGTCGTCAGTACGGTTAGTACAGTCAGTATTTTTAGAGTCCTGTAACAATTCGGCACTTTTAGGTACACGCTTAAGTCTAGACTTCCCTATCGGTCCGCGTTTCCTAGAGGTATAGATGTGTATTGGTAAGTCAGCTAGTACATTGTCATGGGTGTAACGCGGGGCCAATTTTTGTCGGCTAGCTAAGGGGTTGGAAATAAAAACCTGTTGGTTTGGTTGATATTCAACTTCGGGCTCCCGGGATTTATTCCGGTTATTTATAAGTGTTGAGCGTTCGGATAGAGAACGTTCGTTAATTAAATCATACACGGTTTTCATTTGATCGCGGTGTGTTAGTATGTACTGCTGTAGTAAGTGTTTTGACAAGTCGATGTCGATTGGGTCTCTAGGGTCGAAATGTCCATTGATAATGTCATACGGCCTGCATTTGGTAAAGCTATGTACAGAACTGTTGTATCCCAAGATAGCATAAGGCATTAGGTTAACTACACGTTCGTCTTTCTTTTGTAGTTTTAGGATTCGCAGATGTTCTAGTAGAGTTGAGTGAAAGCGTTCTATGTTGCCGTTATCATTAGGACAGTGGGCTAATGTTTTATGATGGTTGATTTTGTGTAATTGTACAAATTCAGTAAATAATTGGTTCGTAAATTCGGTCCCATTGTCAGTGACTATTGTCAAAGGAAGACCATGATGTGTACAAAAGGTAAGTAAGCTTTGCAAAATACTCAACGCTGTTCCGTCTCTTAAGTGGTACGCTTGAGCATATTTGGAAAATACGTCTATGAATGTGAGATACTTTTCGTTATGTACAGTGAACATGTCCATATGGATAGTCTCGAATGGTTTGGTCGCGGGGGGCACGATATTGAACTGTGGTTTTACAGGTTTCCTATCGTACTTGGCTTGGCCACATATGGTGCACTCATTAATGTATTTTGTAATGTGTTCCCTCATTTTGGGCCAGTAATAACGTTTGGAAAGGGCCAGGAAACACTCATTAATACCGCGATGGTTGGTTTTACCTTCGTGGTAATTCTTTATTATTTCCTGCTGATTCAAATATTCTTTTACATTTTCGAGCTCAACTTTAGTTAAAACGAGATTCATAGATGAGCTTTTAAATTTTTCTTGTAGTATTGGAATGACGTCGTACATGCAAAACGGAGGGTTGATTAATAATCCGGTTTTGACTTTTGGGTTCACGTATTCTTTTATAGCATTAACAAGGTCTACTTCCATTTCTGGTTGTCTTATTTGTATATTTGTTCGAGTATGCGTGTCGAAAGGTTTGGTTGCTATTGGTCGTCTCTTTATGTCGCCTACAATTGTTAGTATTAGCTGTCTGTGGAATTTATTAAGAGGTTCGTCGGTGATAGGTATTTCAAGGATTGGATTCTCTTGACTTGTGTGGGCTGTCTGGATAGTAGAGCCTGTGTGGGCAGTTTGGGTAGTGGATCCGTTGCCTATTTTTACTGACGGGTTGGCTATCATAGAACACGATTCCTCGTTGTGTATCTCTACTCGGAAAAGTGCATCGGCATTGGTAATACATTTACCCTTTTTGTAAATTACAGGGAAATCATATTCACTTAATTTTAATTTCCACCTAGTAAGTCGTGAGTTGGGTTCCTTAAGGTTCATTACCCACTGAAGGGGTTTGTGATCTGTTAAGATCTTAAAAGTACGGCCAAACAGATAGGGTCTGAAGTATTTGGTTGCCCATACAATAGCAAGTAGTTCTTTTTCTATTGTGCTGTAGTTCACTTCGCTCTCATTTAGAGTTCTAGAAGCGTAACATACAGGTTTATCTGAGCCTATGGGTCCCTGAGATAGGATTGCTCCTATTGCTACGTTTGATGCGTCAGTAGTAAGGATGAATTCTTTACTGAAATCAGGATATTGGAGGATTGGGTCGTTAGTCAGGAGAGTCTTACACTTTTCGAAGCAGTTAGTATAATCTTTGTCAAGAGTTATTTTACGTCCTTTTTTCAGACACTGTGTCAAAGGTTTGGTGATTCTAGCGAAGTCTGGGATGAACTTCCGATAATATCCTACGAGGCCTAAAAACTGTTTAATTTCCTTCGCGGTTTTGGGTAGGGGATAATTTTTTATGGCGGATATTTTATCTGGATTTGGCTTAATTCCATCTTTACTAATGATGTGTCCTAGGTAAGCAGTTTCTAATTTAAGAAATTCGGATTTATCCATTTGAATCTTAAAATTGGATTCCCTTAGTCTGCTGAATACCTTTTCGAGATTAACTATGTGTTCTTGTAAAGACGTGCTAAAAACAATGATATCGTCTAAGTATACGAGGCAGATCTCGTTTTGCAATCCTCTGAGGACGTTGTCCATCACCCGCTGGAAGGTAGATGGCGAGTTCTTTAAACCCATGGGCATGCGGAGGAACTCGAAGTGCCCATGCTCTATACTGAAAGCAGTTTTCGAAATATTATACTGGATGCATCTCAACTTGATAAAATCCTGATGCTAAGTCTAACGTAAGCGTACTCGTATTCCGAACGATGTTCGTAATATGAGTCGTTGTACGGGGCGCATTCATTTGTATTCATTTCGCGCGATTTAAAATAATTTGTTGGAGGTGGATTACCGAACTTACCACGCGGAGTATTCCATTCCATCTTTACCGAACTTATTCCAGTCTGTCCTGTCAACATTTTTGTATGCGGTAATGTCTTGGGAATGAAGCGCTGGACACCACTCATAGGCTGAGCGGTTTGAGCTTGTGGAGGATTGTTTCGGGGTGGAAGTCGGAACACATTACTTCGAGGGTTGTAATTAGGTGGGGGTGCAGCGAACATCCTCTGGGTGTTAGAGGGCATACGCTGTTGGTGCTGTACAGGTTGAGGTAATTTGAAAGGTTGAGGTGGTGGTCTGAAAGGTCGCTGGCCAAAGGGAACTGGCCAGTTAGGTACTGGAGCTTGGAAGGTTTGAGGTTGTGGAAACATTGAGTGGTGTTGATGATGGAGTGAACTTAGTGGTTGGTTGACTTTTAGTGGGCTCACTACGTTGTTGAATATACATTATGTTCAGTTCTTCTTGAACATATTCTAAAGCCTTTTCAATAGTTGAGGGTCGCATGCAACGTATACGAGAACCTAAGGGTTCTTTTAAACCTCGAACAAACGCTTGCATGGTAACTTTTTTTATAAAGATCACGCTTTGCTTCTATAGTAGTCGGTATAGTCTCATGTAAAGTCACGTATGTCATTATGGTGCTGAATAAGGTTTGGCAATGGTCATAAAATTCCTGAGGGGTTCTATTGCCCTGCGATGCTAAAGAGAGGTCATTATATAAAGCTGTTTCGTCTCGTTGGTCGGAAAAATTATTAATTAGTGCTGTTTTAATTCCTAACCAACTTTCAGGAATACCGTTTGAGTTTATCGTGCAGGCGGCGGTTCCTGTTATTTTATTAAGTATGCCATTTAAAAGACATAAATTTGAAAATTCGCTACCGGGCGAAGCACTGAGATACTGAGCGGCTAAACTATCGAATATCTTAATGAACCTAGTTAGAATATTAGGGTTACCATCAAATTCCGGGACAAGGCGTAAGGCCTTAAAAATTGTGTCCGGGTCATGGGCCATTATATTTGTAAAGTTATGAGAACTTATTTCTAATTCGGTTTGCCTATTGCTGTCTAATATATACCAGCGAGCCTGGCGGGATTCAGGCTCCCGAGGACGATTAACTCTAGGATGATAAATCTTGAAGGGGAAGATTTAAGGATAAGGGAAAGATATAAACTAAGAAAAAGGAAGCAACACTAGATAGAATTCTGGTGTACTCACATTGATTTCATCTCGGTTCTCTCGGGATCGATGTCTTAATATATCCTCTTGGCTTGCAGTTGGTCCGTAGTAAATTCGAATACTCGTTTAAAGCTTGAAAGCTACGATAGCCTAGCTAACTTTTGAGTATCCTACCGACTGCGCCAATTACGTTAACTGCAGCCGAAGGACCCAAAAAAAACCGAAACTGATTTAAAAATACTTTATTATAATATAAAAATACAATATAATTATAACTAGAAAGGTATTGAATCTGATCGATGCTAGATCTAGAATGAATATAATTATTAGAACAAAAATTAGGAAATCGAATATTGGCGAGCGCCGATTGCATCCGTTGACGTCAATGATCACGTTCCTGCTGAGTTGCGCCTCGTGCCACTGGAATGTATCGGGGCCGCTGCTGTGTAGGCTCTTTACTTATTGGGCTATGTTGTAACTCATTTCATAACACAAAGGCTCTCAATTAAAATAAACATTAATAATAGATTAGGCTAATGCACTTTAATGAATGTTCATGCTATTATTATTTTTACTATCAATAATAATTTTCATTGTAAGCAAAGTTACTAGTCATGTTTTTGCTGTTAAAGTAACGGCAGGCTGTATACGGACACCGACGTGCTCAGTTTTTCCACACAAATGATGAGCAAATTTATATAACGGCGAATTTTTTTTTGTATCCTAACCATCAAGTAATTGTGTATAGATTAAGAAATTTCAACTGTTTAGCTAGCCATTTCAGCAGCAGTTAGCGTTACAGAACGTGGTTAATTTGTCCTGTCGCGTATATTTGAACTGATCAATGTGCGTTAAAGGCTTTTATAATATTAGTCATTATTACAATGATACAACACCCTGGAAATTGATTATTCGCTTCAGGCTCTTTCAAGTGGACTTCAAAACATTGTAAACATGTTTTTACTGTGAATAATGGTAAAAAAAAATCGTCCCGCTGCATCTCTTTTGCTGGATCTTGGCAGATTAAGCGCTTTTCTTTCCCGGACGGATATAGTAGGATTTTTTACTTTTTTTTTTAGTAATCAATACGTAGTTTTTTTAGTAATCAATAAGTGTAACGCTTCTATATTGAATAAAGATATTTGAATTTGATTACGAGAGTGGTAATGAGTTGGTAATTAATTGTAGTAGGGTCATGCAACAGTCTTCACTGTTGCACAAATGGTCAGGTCCGTCCGGGGAAGTGAAATAACCTCACAGAAGACCACCGTGAAGAGGTATTGTCCACTTCCGGTAACTCAATTTATTAAAAGGTGTCAACGCATCACCCCTACGGTTGTTGCAAATATCCGTGAGCGGCGGTTATCCCTAAACATGAGGTGAGGACGGCTCACTTGCCACCTTCTTACACAAAAGAATTGAGGCAAGAGTGAGAGAGGGTAAGTGGGTGGGGTGGGAGAGGGAGTGGGGGTGGGGGTGGGGATGCCAGCACTCACCCAGGCAGCGAGGAGGTGAGCCAGGGCAGCACGTGGCGGCTGGGCGGCGCCCGCTCGTGCTTTGCACGGCCCTGCTCCAGAGCCAGCTCCATGGCCACGTACTGCGCGATGCCGCCCTTCACGATCGCCCCCAGCGTGTCCTCGTTCAGGCAGATCAGGTTGCGGTTCACTATCGACTTGGACACCGAGCCCTGGACGCAGATCACCAACGGTTACCACTCTGTTTCTTCGCGACAGTATTCTTGTTGTTTTGTAAGGGATGTGGTTTTTAGAGGCCTGGATACAAACCGTCGCACGGTTACCACTCTGGTCCTTCGCGACAGTATTCATGTTTTTTTTTTCAGGTACTGGTTTTTATAGCCCTGAATGCGGATAGTCGCAACAGTTACCACTCTGGTTCTTCGCAACAGTAATCTTTCCATTCTTGTAACGGTTGTGGTTTTCAGGCAAATGTTGAAAAACTATAACCAGCCCCATGCTTTTTTGAACATCTGTCAGTCTAGAAACTAGCTTCTACGAAATCTAAACTTTTGTAGTGCTTACCTCAGCACTTAAGATAAAGAATTAAAATTTGTAGAAAAAAAGTTTCTCCCGGAAGCGGGAATCAAACCCACGTCTTCCGTATTCGCATCCAGGAGTTTTAACCACCAAGCCAATCGGATAATTGTTACGCCTACATTCAAATCTCAACGTAATTTATATAAATGCGACATCTGAGTCCTTAAATATACCACCTACTAATTGCACTCCACTATACAATTATGACCACGAAAAAGTGTTTTCTTTGCAAAAACCTCTCATGCTTTTATGTTGAGGTCTAATTTATATAAATTTATAAATAAACAAATCTGAGTCCTTAAATATACCACCTACTAATTGCACTCCACTATACAATTATGACCACGAAAAAGTGTTTTCTTTGCAAAAACCTCTCATGCTTTTATGTTGAGGTCTACGTGATAAAGTTTAGTGCCTGACATAATTTATTAGCATAAAAAAAACATTATGGTAACATTTCAGGCGTATACACGCACATACGAATACGAACATACACATAAATACGAATACGAACATACACATAAATACGAACAGGTAAGTTTTTAATTTTATGTACCTACTTGTATACGATGAAATACTCCCTTGTCTCATTGTTAGACTTTATAGTTATCTTTATTGTTATTTTTCAGGATTTAAAGATAGTGTCTGTCTTACAGCTTGAACATTCATGATCGGTAGGTTGAGAATATACTGACTGTTGATGATGAGGAACTGGAAGATAAAGAAGATCGGCAAACCGAGTTCAATGCTGAAGAACCGCACACGCAGTGTACATACACTTCTACCAGTATACCAACATCCTGTGACAATTCGCCCCAAATGCGAAGGAAAACTAGCATTGAACGGGCAGCTTTTGCTTGAGCCAATAGAAAATGGTACTGTGGCGATCCGGCTCGAAGGACCAATGTTCGGTACATGGGCCGAAGAGCCTCGTGTATCCAGATTTTGCCAATTATTGGACATATAAGATAATGTTTATTCACTTGACCCAATGAAAACCATAAACCTATCAACAGCCCTAAAGAGAGAACACGGTAAGGTATATCACCTCGTAAACATATTCACACCGTGATTGATATTCATTTTACCTGCATAAACTTCTAATTGGCACAGTGTAACAAACCCTGTTGGTCAAAAAATTCTCTACTCCAATAAGTAGTACGATAAGTAGGGATAGATGTCGCACCGACACTATCCCCTTAAACAATAAGCACGATGTCTCCAAATCATTCTACTACCCAAATCCCTACTGCTCCACCGGCCACCGCTCCCGATATCCCCTGATTGGGCACGCACCTTGATCTTGTTGAGGAGGTGCGGGTCGTGGAGCAGCTCCAGCAGATCGGGCAGGTGGGGGCGCATGCAGTCCACTGCCCCCGCGGCCAGTTCGCGCGCGTCCGCCCCTCCCGCCCCCGCCCCCGCCCCGCCCGGGACCCCGCCCGCCCAGCCCAGCGCCGGCGGCAGCAGCAACGTGCACCCACGCCCTTCGCCACGCGATAATTAGCGAGCGTTTCATACCGAGTCATTACCACCGGCCAGACTATCTTCTTCAATATCATAAGTGTTGCCAAATTTTGGGAGACCTCTAAATGAGGGACCTCTAAATCAATGACACCTACCCTTTTGATTATTAAAAGTTTAGATAACTATAGCAAGATTGTCAAGGTCAAACAAAAGACATAAATATTCAACAGCTAACTAAAATCTCGACTCGTATGTTCATGACTCTTTTCATATTTTAACGTTATAAAATAATATATTCTTGATGTGCGGTCACAAACTCAATTAACACTAGCATTTTGTATCCGTTCAACGTAAATTTCTGTGATTAAAACTTTGACAACAAGATTTGAATATAAAATGGTTTCAGCCCCAATAAAAAGGTTTTGAGTAATTACAACGGTAACCTTCATGCAACTAGGAATTGAGAACCTATAGGATTGTTTGATATCTCATGGCAGAGGGGACGGAGTCAAGGAGTCACCCGGTTACCTTCATGCCACTACGAATACAAAGCCTCATTATTTGATATTTCATAGCAGAGGGGACGGATTCATGGACCCACCCGGTTACCTTCAAGCAACTACGAATTGAGAGCCTCATGGGGGGGAACCCACCCTGCAGCACGAACTGGATGAGCACGAAGAGGTTGTCGTCGGGCACGGTGGTCTTCGTGCGGAGCGCCTGCAGAAGCTCGAAGACCAGCACGCGGCAGAGCAGCAGCTTGTCGCGGTCGCGGCCGAAGGCGCGCACGCACGCCGCGCTCAGCTCCGTCAGCGGGCCCAGCCGCACCGCGAAGTTCTGCACCGCGTAGCTCACGATCTTCGACATCGGCTCCAGGATGCTCTGGGGGCACCGCCTCATGGGATAAGTGTGGGAGGGCCGTCCGGGAACTACCGGGACCACAATCCGCGTTTCGTCTGGTGAGCGAGGTAGCCGGGGTCCACTTTGCTAAAAGGTGATCAACGCATCTACGACCCGACTGCCACGGGTGTTGTAAATGTCCATAGGTGGCGGTTATCACTTACATCAGGTGAACCACCAGCTCGCTTGCCACGTTCGCACATAAATAAATAGAAACCGGCGCGACATGGAAATGTTTAACTTCTGCGTTTCGTCTGGTGGGCGATATGACCGGGGCCCACTTTAAAACGTGACAATGCATCAGCAAGTCTTATGGTGGTGCAAATGCCCTTTTGCGGTTATCACTTAACACCACGTAAGCCGTTAGCTCGTTTACCACTTTCTCTCATCAAAAAGTCCGTCCGTCGAACTCACAGAGGACCGACGCGTAGTGGACATGTTATGCATCTGCGTTTCGTCTGGTTAGGGGAACCCAACTAGTGTCGTCCATGGGCAGCGGTTGTCACTTATCACCAGGTGAACCACGAGCCCGTTCGCAAGTAAACAAGAAACCTTGTGCATGTCGGCCGCTTCACTTTAAAAGGAGGCAACGCATCTGAGACCCTAAGTGTGTTACAAACGTCCACGGGCGGCGGTATTCACATCAGCCAAACCACGAACTTAAAAGACCTTGTGCATGTGGGCCTGCGGCACGCGCAGCGCCGCGGCGCAGGCGCGCAGCAGCGGCGCCACGTCGTCGAGCTGCGGCAGCTGCAGCGCCACGGAGCGCAGCAGCTGCTCGAAGGCGGCGAGCAGCGCGCCGCACGCGCCCGGCGGACCCAGCGCCTCGGGCGCCAGGCACTCCAGGTACGTCGCGATGTTGCCCGCGATCGTAGGGATTTGCTGCGAAACCACGCACGTGCCCTTTGCCCATTCACACTTTCACGCCGATATGCGTGTTTGCTGCGACACGACGGCCCCTTTTCTCCTTTGCCCATTCACACTTTCACGCCGATATGCGTGTTTGTATGAGGAATGGCGCAAGAGGGAGGAGGCTGACGATGATGATGATGCGTGTTTAGTGGAAAACCAAGCCCCCTATTCACCTTTGCCCATTCACACTTTCACGCCGATATGCGTGTTTGCTGCGACACGACGGCCCCTTTTCTCCTTTGCCCGTTCACACTTTCACGCTGATATGTGTGTTTGCCGGGACACTACGACCAAAGGTTGCCTGGAAGAAATTACTCTTAGTAATAAGGCCGCCCATTGTACCCATCACTTCTACATTAAGTTTTAATTTTTGTTTGTTTTATTTTTGGTGTTATAAAGTATATTAATTAATTCATTCATTCATTACTCTTGGCTTAGCGTCGGCTGCCATCATTGGCAGTAATGCCTAACCCGTTTCATGGATTCCCCGTATACATCTGAGGATATCAAGCTATGATATCGGATTTTGCTAGAAAATTACTCAACCGGGCACCAGGGTATGTCATATGTCATGGTATGTCATGATATGCATATGTCATGATCGGACACAAAAAAACGGGTTTCCTTTACTGAACTATAATGTACTTCTATTAATATAAAACTTACATCAATTGGTAAAGTTTTCTTGGAATTCAAGTGTTCTATCACCAGCTGAAGGGGGCCGCATGGATACAGCTCGTTGAAGTCAACAAATGCCTGCGCAATGCTCTTGAAGAATGTGAGACGCTGCTTTTCTGTAACGAAAAGCGTTTCATTCGAAAATGTTTGATCTATCCCACTCTCAATTGTTAGCACCATTATCATTAACATTGTTGATTTGTGTGGAAGAACCATGCAGAAATAAACGACTTTATTAACAAGTATCACGGTCACAAAAGGAAAACGGTGGTAGGGCCACGCAGCAGCCTCGGCTGTTGCACGAATGGGCAGGCTCATCCGGGTAAGTACCACGATTTCACAGAAGACCGGTGTAAAGTGGAAGCATAATACTTTCGCGTTTCGTCTGGTGAGTGAGGTAGCCGGAGCCCAATTTCCAAAAAGGTTGTCAACGTATTTGCAAACCCTCAGGTGTAGCAGTTGTCCGTCAGCAGTTGTCTTTGTTGGGCGGCGGTATTCACTTTACATCAAGTGAACCGCCTGCTCGTTTGGCAACTTAAAACATTAAAAAAAACAAAAAAAGGGGTATGTAGGGGTTTTTGGTAGGGCTACGCAACAGGTTTCGCTGTTGCACGAATGGGCAGGTCCGTCCGAGTAAGTACCAAGACCCAATGGAGGACCGATGTTGCGTTTCGTATAATCGTCATCATCATCATTTGGTCTCCAACACTTTAGTCGCTTTAATAACATGCGCCAATGTACGCCTAACTGATAATTCTCCATTAATATACCGAATCAATAATAGTTTTGTTAAGAAAGCATTAAGAGTGAGCTTCGAAAATTAACACATTTAATCCAAGTTAAGTTGTAATTTACTCCTCTGATTGAGATCGTAAAAGAAACTAGACACCTGAACTTCACAAATGAACTAATTTAATTTAAGTTAACTGCTAATTGATAACTGTGAGTGTGATCATGAGAACTTATTGTACATATTTATGTTTAACTGGTTCACTGACCTGGCGTGCGCTGCAGAAAGATCTGCAGGAAGACGTTGTTGGGGGCGAGCTGGTGCAGCACGCAGCGGAGGAACTGGTGAGCCACGAAGACCGCGCTGCCGGGCAGGCGCGTGTTGGTCTCCGCCTGCCACGAGTAGTTGCCCAGCTGCACCACCCTGCAACGCCCTGATTATTGCATCCTCTTCCCCTGACTACCCCGGACAGTAGCAACGATAACTTTGGGAATCTCACCGATCTCATTTTATTTCGAATGACAAATGTTAAATTTATCGGTAATAAAACATGTTTGTCGGTGATTTTGTAGGTGACGAATCATAGATTGATGCCCGATATTGGTATTACCGATTGACGAAGTGAGTATTGAATTCGCCTCTTGCGCCAGAGGGTGTGGGTTTGATCCCCACTACTGGAAAGATATTGCGTGATGAACATAATCTTTTACCAGTGTCTGGTCGTTCATATATTTATAATATGTTTATTTACAAAAGAAAAGTATGTTTAAGTGTTATTTTTATCGATTATAAAAACCCGTAATTGTTGTACGTGATAAATGAGAGAAAATTACTTTACGATACTGGTATTCAGCTGACCTAGACTGACCTTAGTTGGAAGTTTCATTTTGACCCATAAAGCCACCATCACTTTTATTTTATTAAATATTTTACATATCACGTTGCCCAAAAGCGTTCAATTATAAGTTTTGCTGTGAGAAACTGGCGGAGGAATAATTTTTTTAAACAATCTCTATTGACATTTATGTCGTTAAACTAAAGTTAATCCTGTAACATGTCACTAATTTAACTATCGCAGTAGCCGAGAAAGTAACTATTATAAGAGTTCTAACGTTATTACTTTTATTCTATATATTTAAACTATTTCTGAACTTGAATATTATAACGACAAGCAACACTGGTGGTTATATCACCGTCCGGGAACGCAGCCGGAATGCAAGTCCGTTGCTCCATGCGACCTTGTTTCCCTTCGCTCGAGTCGTTAACGTCATATCCGGTACACAGTGTTGCCAGCCACAACACTGTGCTAAGAACACAAGGTGAGATATCGAAGGTATCTTGGCCACCCACCTGCTGACGCTGTGCAGGAAGGCCGGCAGCATGGCGGCGGCCGCGGCCGGCTCCCGGTGCACGAAGGTCGCCAGCACGATCACGCAGAGGCCCAACTCCTCGTCGCTGTACTGCTCCAAGGCGGTGCCGCACTCGGCGCCTAATGCGGGGCGCGTGAAACTAATGCGTTGGCTCAGATTTCTGTTTCATGTACCCTACCCAATGATACACAGGTCGTCCCATCTAGTGGGGTGTCGTCCCACACTGCGATGGCCAGTACGAGGCTTTCCTTCCTTCGAGAACCTTTCCTCCCCAACGGTTATCGATTCTACGAGCAACCGGCCGGTCCTTCGCCACTTAAGCTTGCTATTTTTTGAGCTATGTCGCTTACCTTGGTTATGAACTCTAATTGATTGTTTGTTTATATTTATCTAGCTGCTGCCCGCGACTACGTCTGTGTAGATTAGGCTGAAGGCGTGACATTCAGACGGAAAGACAGATATAAATAAAAATATGTATATAAATTATACCTACGTGTTATTCTGATGCATAAGCTATATTATGTTAAAGTTTCGTTAAAATCCATTATTTTTTCCATTATTTCATTATTTGCGTGAAAGAGTAACAAATATCCATCCATACATACAAACTTTCGCCTTTATAATATCAGTAAGGATTATTTTTTTTATGTGAAAAGTTGCCAAACAAGCAGACGGGTCACCTGATGTTAAGTGAATGCCGAAGCCCATGGACATTTGCTACACCTGAGAGTTGCAGATGCTTTGACAATGACCTTTTGAAAATTTGGCTCCGGCCAATACTTCCACTTTAGGCCGATCTTCTGGATTGCGGTACTTACCCGGACGGGCCTGCCCACTGGTGCAACAGCCGAGGCTGCTGCATGGCCCTACCACCGTATGAAGTGAGGATTAGGACTATGGTATTAGTTGAATATTTTATTATTGTGGCGTGGCACTCACAGCGGTAGCAGAGGGCGGCGTCGGGGCGGGGCGCGTGTGGGCCGGGGGGCGCGGCGTGGGCGGCCCTCCTGCCCGCGCGGCTGCTCGCGCCCCACCACGACCCACCCGCGCGTCCGCTCTCTGCACAAGGACAGCCTATACATGTCCCACTGCTGGGCAAAGGCCTCCTCTGTACAGAGGGTGTTAAGGCATAGTCCACCACAGTCCTATTTTGCTATCTTAGACGGTATTATCGCTTGAACACTCACCGGTAGAGTGGGGACGGGCGGTGGCGCGAGGATTGTGGGGCTGATAGTGCTGTTGTTGGAACTGTTGCTGTTGATACGGATGCTGTTGGGACTGTTGCTGAGCGAGGTGCGGTGGGGAGCCCAGCTGAGCGGCTTGGCGGGCCAGCCGCCGCGGAGACCTGCTGCGAAGTCACCGAGAGGGGGGATCGATCGTCGTCCATGGGGCAAAGAGTGCGCATGCATAATGAAATTCCACAGTTGATGTTAAGTCTGCCACTTGATCAACTTAAACGCAAAGCATATACCATTGCGGAATATCTCGACGACGCCAATGTGTTGCGTTTACTACTTTTGACACTCACGTTGAATAAATAAACCCATCATAATATGTTTTAATGTAAACTGATTTTAAAAAAGAGCAAGATGTTGAGTATCTCTCCGGTCTCTTCTCAACAGAAAGTGCCTTCCGAACCGTTGGTAACTTACGAACTTATGTATACGTTTCACAGGAAAGCGCAAATGTCTATTTGAATAAAGATATTTTTGAATTCCTATTATTAGAGTATTCGGTGAAGATATGGTAGACTCTCGCAGCTCCTGTTGTGCACGTATGGGCAGATTTATCCAGGGAAGTATAACTGGCTCACAGAAGACCAGCGTGAAGTGAAGGTATTATACTTTTGCGTTCCGGGCGATCGGTAACATATCAACATTAACACATTTGCAGGTAGCTGTAATATCTTGTGAACCGTCAGCAATTTTGCCAACTTTTCAAATTAAATATTTATATATAGAGTATGGTAACCAGGGTCCACTTTTTTAAATGATTGTAAACATTAAAATATGTATGTTCAATCTTAAGTGCAAAGATTAGCACTATAAACAATTTAAATTTCTGATCGTAAACACATTTGCAGCCTCGCAGATGTTGAAGATGTCTATGAGCAGCTGTGACATCACGTGAACCGTCAGCTCGTTTGCCAACTCATCGCTTACCTGGTGCTCTCCGAAGATAGCTTCTTGGTCAAGTCCTGGGGACGTCCAGCGGGCGTCGGCGTGGGCTCGTTCTCCGACCGGCTGGAGTCTGTCCTGTCCGTGGAGTCGTCTGGCATTTGGCAACCAATTAATATGAAAATTTGCATTTGAATTGCAGATATGGCTCAAGGGGGGAGTGGAGTTGTCTGGTGTTTGGATAATAATTAATATGAAATTTTAAAAAGAATGGCAGCTATGTCAGTAAAGCGAAGTTAGCTAATGGACGTGGATTTGTTCCCTTACTGAACAGACAACCCTATAGATGATGAATCTTCAGTGTTGGTTAATTTTAATGATACATCAAATCGTACTAACGATGTCATAAAGACATAGAGACTATAAAGAGGATGAGAAATTAATGTTCAGTAGTGGAAAAAGTAAACTCTCCTTGAGTTTACTTTTTCCATCAAGGAATAAAATACACTAATGCAAGGGCAATTTAATTCCAAACATAAATGATAAATCTTTAAGCCCTATCTTCCAACAAAAATTAAAGACTTGTCAAAACTTCTAAATATTGTCTTTTTAATTAGAAATATCTTGGATAAATCCTCGATAAATCTAATGATACCTGAATGAAGTAAATTCTTATAAAAAGCGAACGTTACCACATAACTAACAAACATGACAAAGTTTAAAATAGTGCATATACTAAAGTTTTGTAAAACCGACTTAAAATTCCTAAAAACGGAACCAGGCTACCAACCTGGCGGTAACTTCAACGCTTCTCGTACTCTATCCACTAGTGCGTTGAACACCGGATATTGCTCCTTGTTCGGTTTCGGCCCTATCGGGAGTAGTCTGCGAATATATGAAATATATTATATATGTAATAATTAAATAAATAAAAATTGAAAACGAAATAAAAGCTTAATAAAGAAGAAGTTGCCTGGAAGGAATTGCTACCTTAGTAATAAGGCCATGTACACATGTTATGTACACTATGTTTCCTGTATTTCCTTTATATGTATTACCTTGTGTGCATATAAAGTATATTCTAAAGACAACATTATTAAGGAAATGTTATTTCTATTAAATTAAACTATATTTTACCTGAATTATCACGTTCTCAGCGGTGAAGGAAAAAATCGTGAGGAAACCTGCATATTTTCGAAATAATAACAAACAAAATATTTCGAAGACATGTGAAGTCCGCCAATCCGCAGTGGGGCCGCGTGGTGGACTATGCCCAGATACCCCCTGTATAGAGGAGGCCTTTGCCCAGCAGTGGGACATGTATAGGCTGATACTTTACTTTTTTAAACTATATTTAAGTAATTATCTCGTTTATTTTTAAATTTTATTTGCCGAAGTTTCGAAACCATTTCATGGTCTGTCCCGTGACCAATTAAAAGTCATGTTCAAATTGAAATTATCATTTTATTTCTATTTTACACTATTGAACTTAAATTTAAACAAATACACAATTATAAAGTGGCGCATACCTCTCGGGCGGCGGGATGTTGAAGGGCTGGTGTGGTGGCTGGTGTTGGTGGTGCTGGTGGTGGTTAGTGGTGTGGGGTGGTGCGCACCAGCCCAGCTCCATCTTGGAGAGCGGCGACTCTGGCGACGCGTAGGCTAGCCCCGAACACCGCTCTTCAAGGCAAAGGCAACATTTCTTTAATACGCTTGGGCTTTTAGTTTAAAGAGCTAGTTAAGTAAGAAATAAAGTTCTTTTGAATTTATTTTCAATCTGCCAATCCGCAATACGATCGCAGTGGTAGATATTGCCCCCCTTTTGTACCGAAGCAGCCTTTTCCCAGCAGTGGGAAATATGTATGTGTGGGCTAGAAAAGTCTTTGTCCGTAAGCGGGAAATATGTATATCCATATGCTGTTACATTACTTTTAATGGAGTTAGGACGCGTGTGTGTGGAATGTCGGTTGTGTGTGCAAGCAGAATGGGGGGCTAACCGGCGGCGGGGCTCCGCAGCCGCTGGGGCGGAGGCGCCGGTGCCAGCCCCTCGCCGTTGGGCGAAGGCGCCGTGTCAGGGGACGTGCTGCTGCCGGCTGCAGAGACGAGCAAGTAATAATAACTTTATTCTGAACAAGCCATGTATCTATTTATATATCTATATATTATATGTATATAGAGCTATCTTTATGTATGCGTATATATATAATTTTTCTGTGCTTGGGTATGTCACTGAACCCCTCCTAATGTAATGACATTTAATTTTATTAAATTAAATTATTTTGATTTAATAAAATTTTGTGTCTTAGAGGATGGTTTAGATTCAAAATTTGGTAAACTAAATTTAAAAAAATAAAGAAAAAGGACGTCTGTCTGGTCCACTAGTAGACCTCTGTAAACATTGATTTCAGAGCTAGTTTATTAACTTTTATTTTTATAATCTTCGTTTAGCACCTGCCATCTGCCTTCCACCATGAAAAGGGTTGACTGGTAGAGAATGCCATTAGGGTTCTTTCTGACCCCCTACTGAACAACGCCTGTCATGTATGTAATTCCTGTGTGTGTGGTACTTGACCATTTCCAGTATTATGCGGCAGTTGTGGCAATTTATAAAAATACATTTATACAATTATAAATTATCTTTGTCTATTAGGTTTCATCGTAAAAGACTTAGTGGTTAAAGCGTCTGGACATGAATCTCGAAGGCGTGGGTTCGATTCCCTCAGCGGCGAAAAACTTATTCGTACCGTTTCCTACACATTTTCATGTTTCATCTTAAGTGCTATTGATTGACACTATGAAAATTTTAAATTTCATATAGCAGTGGCGATATTCAAAATTGCTTGTATACTTTGAAGAATATAACAATAGATGCGCCAAGGTTGGCTTAAAATGCGAAAAAACAATATATATTTGTATGGTTTCGGCGTCGGGGGTCGTGGGTTCGATTCCTTCATGGGACAAATGTTTGTGTGTGACCCACAGGTAGTTGTTTCGCATCTGGGTGTTTGTCCACGTGTAATTTATGTTTGTAAAACATCCTTACAACACAGGATAATGTTATCCTAAAGTAAGGACAATGTTTTTTTAAAGAAGAAGAGGAAAAAAAGAAGAAGATAAAAGACGTTAGGTCGACGTCAGCCGATTAGGTTATTGATGAAAATGTCTAGGCACGAATCTGGAAGACTTGGGTTTGATTCCCGCAGCGGCGAAAATCTTTTCGACCTTTTTTCTACAAATTTTAATCTGTTTATTTTTTACCCTTTCGTCTTCTTCACCACGACTTCTGTCGCCATCTGTACTCGTGGAAGTAAACTTGAAATTATACTGGGTTAACTCACCAACGACCCTCCTCTGCTTGCCCAGCAATTTGGCGCGCGGCGAACTCTGGTTGAACTGGTCTGGCCAGATCTCTACTGAGTGGCTGCTCATGGGGGTAGACTTCCTGAATACACCCACACTTCTTTTTTAATGTGAAAAGTTGCCAAACGAGCAGACGGTTCACCTGATGTTGAGTGAATACCGCCGCCCATGGACATCTGCTACACCCGAGGGTTTGCAGATGCGTTGACAACCTTTTAGTAATTGGGCTCCGGCTACCTCACTCACCAGACGAAACGCGGACTACTCACCCGGACGAGCCCGCCCATTCGTGCAACAGCCGAGGCTGCTGCGTGGCCCTACCAGTTAAGTAATGCTGTAGTTGGTCCCTAATATATCAACCAGTTATGATAGGGAAAACCTGCATTGCAATAAGATGTTTTGTTAGGTCATACCGTTATTATTGTAGCGACAAGCCTGTTGTTAGTGGCTTAATTTGTATTTGCCAAACAAAAAGACACCTACACAAAACATTACCCTATCGCCTTGATCTTCTGCAAAACTTCCGCGGTCGAACTGACTCTATATACATATTTATTGTCTCTTACGAGGATACATCGAGACGTCGGTGTATCGTTTCCTAGTCTTGACATCGGAGAGCAATAAAGGTACAGAGGAGAAAGTGGCCTGTTTAACGGTGGAAAAGGAACGCTTTTTATATAAGAAGGTGGCAAGGTTGACCTGATGGTGATAACCGCCGCCCATGGACATTAGTAACACCCGTAGGGTTGCAGATGCGTTTTCCACCTTTTAATAAAGTGGGCCCCGGCTACCTCACCCACCAAGCGAAACGCAGAAGTATGACACTTCCGCTTCACGCTGGATTTCTGTGAGGTCGTGGTCTTACCCGGACGGACCTGCCTATTCGTGCAACAGAATCTGTTGCGTAGTACAGTTAAAAGGTTGTTGGCGATAATAATGAATCCTGGAAATGAAACTACAATTTCCTAGAAGTATTCTCTAAGATCGTTGTTGAAAAGGCCACTGACAAGTTCGAAGAGTCGCTGCCGATGGAGACGGAAGAGCTGGTGGAGAGCTGCTGCGAAGGTCGACCGCCAAACACGGCAGCCGTTGACTGCACCAAAAGTTGCCATTAATTCCTCATTCATTCATTCTATAATTCTATTCGTTCAATCGTACATTAAACATGAGAGCAAAATTGTGTCCATTAACAGAAAATAACAATAACAATATGGAAAATTCACAATAAAATTCCCATAAAACTTGTGAAGACTAAAATATCATGCGTTATAGTGTATGTTTAGACATTAATATCAACTCAAAAAACTATTCCCTTTTGTCTTTTTTATTTAAAGAACTATTAACAGCGAAAGATTCTATTTTTATTTTCAATGAGAAAACAATGTCGAGGCATCCATTCTCGTCCCCTAACTTAACCAGTAATTTAATACATAACGAGATTGCGAAATTGTACACTTTACAAACAAAACCAAAGGTTTAATATATGACTGTTCATACCAAAATTCAATAGCGCAATTGATTATATTTTAAATATCTTAATGTAAATAATTTTATATGAAATTGACAATTGCATGCTGAAGTCAGCTGAATATGTTGCACCAAATTATTATAATTAAGATCACAATGTACTACCATATTCTGGCAATTAAAAAAAAACAATAAAATCTCGGCGCTTACCATTTTCGCGTGTGGCGGATGAACGCAGACGTTTTGGAGTTCCACTTTCGGGGGATCCTCGTAGTGCGACGGCTCGTCGAAGGAACCCTACAACCATTAACAATATTTTACAAATTTCTCACTGAAAAGAAAAACAAACCTTAGATCAGCTACATTCACAGGCCTCTTTGATTCTTCACGTGGCAGAGAGAGAAAGAAGAGAGACACTGAGCGAGATAGGAAGCTGATGATAAACACTACAAGCTGGATTGAATTGCTTATAAATTTCCAAAATTACAGATGAGACACGGTGACACAGTCTCCGTACAACGGAAACTAATTTCGAGAGATACACTATTAGAACCGAATCCCGTTATATTGAAAGATGGCCTGGATTGAAAGACCTGGATTCAAAGCCCGACCTTTCACTACGAACATCATAAAACAGAGACTACAGTACAGCGATGAAATTTGGTGACAAATTACCGGGGCAGTGCTGCCATGCACAGTGGTATCAGACTTGTCGCTTGTCTCGGGGATGGCGATGAGCTCGCTTTCCGACGATTCCTGCTCCAAACTCCACTGCTGGTATCTGGGACATATGTTTATTACAAGTTAAGATGACAGCTATAATTATATAATCAAGCAGTCCGATCTTTTGATCATACATTCATAAACGCTAAGGCTTACGTAAGGATAGTTTAAGATTCGAGCCCAAGGTGTGGTAGGGCCACGCAACAGTCTTCGCTGTTGCACGATTAGGCAGGTCCGTCCGGGTAAGTATCATGACCTCACAGAAGAATGACGTGAAGTGCAGGTGTCATACTTCTGCCTTCGTCTGGTGAGTAAGGTAGAGGGTAGGGGGGTACTTTATTACAAGGTGGCAATGCATCTGCAACGGGGTGTTGCAAAAGTCAATGGGCGGCGGTTATCACTTAACATAGGTGAACCGCCAGCTCACTTGCAACTTTCTCACATAAAAAGTGTGGTAACACATATACTGTTAAAAATTAAAAGGAAATCTAATTCCTTCACGCCGTCTAAATTCCAATGTGACTTCAAGGTCCTATACACAAAATATAGGACTCAGGTAAATGCAAATTTCAACAGCAGTACATTGTCTATGAGCACCATGAGGGGGAGAGAAATACTCACTTTGCAGGCTCGGGTTGCTCAGACCAATGAGAAGGAGACTTGTGGGTGACATTGCTTTCTTCCGTCTTCAGCGAAGGCTGGCTTGCTTCTGTGGGCAATAGTTTATAACTTCATGAGCTCGTGTCCCAAGTATTATCACCACCATAAATGATTTTTTAAGTTTAATACTTTCTTTATGATGGTGATAATGCTGGAGACACAAATCGCTATTGAGAGAGGTGCAAATTTATTTATTTATGACGAAGCAAAAACAAGACTAATACTGGATTCGGAAACAGTGATAATTTAACATAAAATGATAAATAAGAGTTGGAAACAGTTAATAATAAAAGTATGGTAAATAAAGAAAACCTGAAAATAGTTGCGGTTCCAATGAAATGGTCAATTAGCAGTTAGAATTAAATCAATTTATTTGCCAAGTGGTATCTTAATCATCAAGCTTTTTAGTTTGAAATTTGCCAATACACGAGCTTCATTTAAATTAAATTCTAAGATACAGTCAGGCATAAGAGACAAGAGTCATTCGTAAAAGTATTAGCATAAGAAATGAAACATAGAATTATAGCAGTTATGCCGTTGCGAGTCAATAATTGAAGCGGTTTACAAGCACGTATGACGGAATCGAACCTCGCGTCCTCGGCGGCTGCTGGGACGTGTCGTCTGGGTCTGCGTAGGCACTTGTGGCATCACGATCATCGGAGGGATCCGCTTGCACTGGTGGTATTGGGCCTCCACGGAGTTCAGCACCACGCGTACCAGGTTAACGGTCAAGTTGCACAGCACACCAGTCCCGTAGTGGTACTGATAAACAAATGGCATCACCTTAAAGGTTTTTCCATTGCTATTGAACCTTTGGTGTCACTGCTGGGGAAAAGTTTTCTCTCCCTTTTTTCAGACTACCCGATTTGCGGCCATCTGACACCAATCTTTTAAATAAAACATTAACACGAGAAGTGACAGCTCAGTGTCCGGACACTTGCTTTTAATTCAATATAATCTAACAGCCTGAGTTCAAACCCCGGAGCCAGCGCCAATGAAATCGTTAATTTTAAGTGCTGACTTCTCACGTGCTCAGTGGTGAAGGAAAATATCGTGAGGAAACCTGAATACTTTCGAAACCATATAAAAATATTTCGAAGATATGTAAAGTCCGCCAATCCGAAGTGGGGTAGCGTGGTGTCTCCTGTATGTATAAGCTGTTACTTTACTAACAAGAGAGTAAATAAACTGTTTTGTAAGATAACTCTATCAAATGGTCAGTGTATTTTTCATGGTACCAGAGCTTCAAAGCAGTTGTTTCTTATCTTAAGCGATAAATCTAATTCATGTAATCAGAGACATTCTTAAAGAACAAGGCATCTTTAAAACTGCACTTGCAAGACACATCATCATGTTTTCTAAAATTGAAAACTTTCTAGAAGTTTTGAAGAGACGATCAAATTTGAAAACAGGAGGTCTGCATTCAGATTACACATATTAACATCAGTAAAGATCAAGGGAAAAATAGGAACTGCCCGATTATTTCTTTAATTTTTAGATGGATTTTGCGTGGCCCCACCGCAGTAGGTAGCCTAGTAGTCTCAACTTTTGGCGAATGGGCCGTCCGGGGAAGTACCACCACCTCACAGAAGACCGGCGCGAAGTGGGATTGTTACGCTTCCGCCATTTTCGTCTGTTGGAGGTAACCGGGGCACACTATCAAAAGGTGGCAATGCATCAACTCTAAGGGTGATGCATATGCCAATTGGTAGCGTTTATAATTTCACTTCATGCGAACTGCCAGCTCGCTAGCCACTGCCTCACTTAAAAAAAAGATGGCGTTGCCAAGTGACCTTGTAGAGCACGACCAGTAACGCCACAAGCCAGTGGCGGCGCACGTGGGGCTCCAGTGCCGCCAGCGTGTGCGTGGGCGCCGCGCCCCCCGCGCCCCCCGCTCCCCCCGCCCCCGCCCCCACCCCCGTGCCACACCCGCCCCCGCCACCACCCGAACCCGGCCCGCTGCAATACTGATGGGCGGAGAAATTATTTAATCATATTTGATGGTAGGCGTCGGGTGTCGTAGGTTCGATTCCCACACGGCTCAAGTATTTGTGTGACCCACAGATGATTGTTTCGGATCTGGGTGTCTGTCCACGTGAAATTTATCTTTGTAAAACGCTCTTACAACACAAGATAAAGTTATCCAACAGTAAAGGCAATTTAAAAAAAATATTTGCAGCAAGTCTGGCTGCCTTTGTTTATCTTAGTTTATTAACATTTATTTATAATTACCGCATTACACTGGTATGAGCTATCTCAAGCTGAATCTTCGTATAAATGTAATTAATCAGAAATAAAATAGAATCCTTTATAAATAAGACTATTTTGTTCATTTCATCATGTTTTTCTACCACACCATAGAAGTATACAAAAGTTAACAAATGCTTTTTTTACTAACAATTTGCATTAGTGGCTAAAATGAAAAAATATTCTGGAATAAATATTTATATTTTTCATTCTTTGATAAATGTACAGATAAATGTAAAATCTGATATTTTTGGACACTTTCTAAAGTTTTCTACGTTTATTACCTGCAATACAACAAGAGTTGGTTCGGCAATGCTGGCGCCCATCACGTGATTTTGATCCAAAACCTGGGGCAAGTTGGCCAGGAAAGCATTGAAAATCGATGATTGTCTGAAAAGAAAACTATAAATATATTCTCCAAACATATTTATGATGAAGACTTGGTGTTATAAATACCTATAAAAACACTACACTGAAAACCAAAACCATGAAAGCTATAGAATATTAAAAACGGGGATATGGTTAAACAAAACTCACGTCAAGAGGCAGATATGAACGCTGCATTATTCAAAAATTCTAGAATATAATATTGAAATCAAAACGCGTTGTAATTCGTGAAATCATTTTATTCGACCATATGCAGTTTCCGCATATACAAGAAGTCATTACCAAAGCGAACATTTCTTAAGGTATAAGGGTTAGTAGAAATTGGTTCAATTACCTCATTACATGAGGGGCCACATGGAAATACTTCTCCACGGAATTGTAGCCGATTAACATGAAGAGATGTTTCAGCACCAGCTCTTGCGTCCTCAGACATGACTTGTCCTCCGTTGGGTGCGCTTGATCCGACCTCATTGAAAAAAACATTGTCTAAGGTATAAACAGTACACATTTTATGCCTAAATATTACTAATAGATACACACGATTGTTGAATGACAATTGGTCTACTTCTTTTGGATTGTTGTGGATTTGACGGTATATTGTTATTTGGAAAACGAAAAATCAAAAATACTGCACTTGTCTTGGAGTTCACCTTATATTTATTAAGCACTGAACTAAAAATTGGACCCTGAGATTATCCTGAGCCTGTAAAGAAACATGTTTGCTAGTATTGCTGTTAAAAATTTTGTTTTTGGGAACAATACTCTCCAGATGCCGATTCTACGAAGATGACCTCCTCTCTCATGGACACAATCGAGTTTTGTGCTAAGCACAAAACATGATCAAAGTTTCATCAAAGTTATTATGCGCTATCCGAACCTGACAGGTCTCTCACACTGGAATAAAACTTCTCCTGGTATAAAGCAATTAAAACATACCTGCCATATATACTAGTTCATATTCGCTGGTTCACTCGCGTTATTTTCGTATTATATTGTGGTAAAAAAATAGAATTGCGGTAAAGTTTTACCAGTCGCAAATTTTATATGTTCCACATTTCTGTCAAATCCAGATAGGATCAACACTAACTTTCAAACGTATATTATTTACGTTCTTACCTGGACAAAAACTGCATCAATAGGAAAACTAGAAGGTTGGTGGTCTCGCGGTCCGTCTCTTCGAGGTCGACCTTGGGCAGTACAGTCGTCAAAGTATCCTCAGTAGATCGGCCCGACATAGAATGAAGGCCCTCTGAAAACACACCAAGGATCAAAAATGCATTCATGCCATTTTTGAGCTCATTAATTTCGTATAAACGCGGAAAACTATGAGACCTAAATATTTATTTAATAAATTAAAAATATCCCTTTGTCTTTCATAAGTACATTTTATGACGCATTGGATGCTATTACAAACTGTTTGAACTGATTGTTTACATTTGCATTGCACTTGTCGCATTTATTAATTTTATAATATATTGGTATAAAAGAAGAGGAATTCTGAGTGAAGAATTTAAATCCAATCCCTATTTCGATGTCTAGTTGTGTGTAGTGGATTCAATACATGCATCTAAGTGAATCAAGACTTAGTAAGGGTATATGCTATTCTAATAGTACAAATTTAAAGTAAATCTTTCTCGCGAGTAAAATGTGATAGAACTAAATAACACAGCTGATAGTGCGTTAAGGTGAAGAAGATATTTGGGATCGCGTGCGTTACTACGTGTCCGCTGTTTGTACGTGTCTAGTCAAAAATTGTAAAACTTGCTGCTTAGCTAACGATCCCTGAACATTTTAAATTAAAGCAGTTTCTTGGAAAACGAGACAAGTATACATAACGTATACAGTTTGCGCGTATTTTTTTACTTTTAACGAAGTTTAAAGTGCTTCTGACAGGTTTTCTATTGTTGTCAAAATCGACGCAAATCCCTTTTATTATGCAATTCACGACCCTTCATGCATAATTTTCGATCAGGTTCTATATATTCTCGATGTTCATGGAAGTGAAAAAAATTGTTTATGTCTGTTTGTTGCAGAATTTTATTTCGTCCACAAGTTATACTCGTAGTAGTTATACTAGTAGTAAAAATGATTGGTTACATGCAAGTTTTTTTTTTAAGAGTGTAGTAAGCGAGCTGACGGTACACCTGATAATAAGTTATAGCCGCCGCCCATGAACATTTGCAACACTCACATTTGCAACATGCGTCGCCACCTTTTAGTGCCGGCCCCGGATACCACACTCACCAGACGAAACGCAGAAGCATGACATTTCCATTTCACGCCAGACTTCTATGAGGTTGTTGCACTTCCCCGGACGAAACTGCCCATTCGTGCAACAACGGATACTGTTACGTGGCCCTACCACAGTAAATTCAAACAATGATCGGCCTTGTGAAACCTCTAGACGTTGTAACATGAAACGTAACTGTAACAAGGGTCTAAATAATAATTCAGACAGGTGGCTATTCAGTTAAAAGAACATTAATAAAAAAGTTTATATTAATTTGGTTTTCAGTCTAGTGATTTTCATTTGTTGAACATAATTAACCATAAATAACCTGTACCAAATATTATCGCATTGGTAATAAAAATATGAATGACTTCAAAATATACATATAATTAAATCTGTATTGATTTATACATCGACATAATTATATTCTATACAAAATTGACTTATGCAAATTTTTCGCTCATTATTGTGATCAACTGAATTGAATTATAGTAATGTAACAAATGCGAGTTATTTTAAAAAGCCACAGAATATTAATTTCATTGTATAAAGTCGTTGTAACCATAACTTTCTTTTATATTACAGTTCTTTCAACTAACTTAGACGATTCATTTAAAAGAAGACTACGCACTGTTTTAGTTAATACAAGGTAATCGATGTTTATTTTATAAAACCTAAAGACACACTTTGGTTTCAAATCTAAGCAACTTCATAGCAGATAGCTAAAGTTGACATATTTGTAAATATCCAATTAAACGCTAATCAACTTTCCTAGCATGCAGTGCGGCTAACTCAATAAGTGCGCAATACTACCATGTGTACCTGAACGGTGAACATTAAAACGGAAGGTCTTCCAATGTCTTCGCAATTGGCAATGGAAAATTACCTTTCGACGTTACCGACTAGAGTTTTCGACTTAAAATTACATTAAAAATATAATTTTAAGTCGAAAATAATCCAGAATTGAGATAATCTCAAAAATCCATCTATATAGTGAAAGTAGTTTAGATAATCTAGACAGTCTAGAGTAGTCAATTTGATAATGAAAATAAAGTTGCCATTCCTTTATTGATTTAGGAGGGATTTCTCGGAATATTTGAGCCAATGACGATGAACTCCTTTGCATAGCAGGAACGTCCTATTGATGGATATAAATATATATATATAGTTTTAAGAACATAAAATCTAGATTTTGAATTTAATTCTTGTTTCAAATTAAAAAAATGATCGCATTTCTTACCATTATCGCTTATTATTCTATTCAGCGTCTAGTTTTGTACTTTCGGTTATACAGCGTGTCTTTATAATCGCGACAAAAAATGAACACACATAGAATAGAGGATAACTTTTTAAAATTGTATTAAATATTAACATTCTTTAAATACCAATATTTACCGAGTTATTAAATTTTCCAAAACAAAGAATTTTAGAACACCCTTACGTATAAAACTGTAACGTAAAGTTCATTTGTAAAGGTCACAAAGCATATGAATGAGTTGAATGAATTTAAAAGAGACAAAACATACTGTTAGAAGGAGAGGCTTGTAATCCGACGCTGTGGCAACGAATGAAAATGTCTCTAAATGTATGAATCAGTCAGTTGTAGTTGTAGTTGTATGTAACAAATTTTGTTTCTTTTTTACTTAATAAGTTTGTTTCAAAAATGTTTTTTTTTTAATTATGGGTTTTTTTAACGTTAATATTTTTTTATGATTATTGGCAAGTAGCGTTACACCTGTGTTCATTTATTGTCGCGATGGTAACGACACGCTGTATAATTAATAGAAGGGAATTTCCCTGATCCTCGTATTTCAGCATTTTTATTTGTACAAAACATAACAATTGGCGCAAATAGAACACTTAGTTTAAATGATTTTTTACACATTAAAGCCTAAACTTGTTTTAGATTACAATCTTCAAAGTATCAAACGGAGACTACGTCAAGTCAGTTTGAACAGATCAACGTGACAACATTCATATGGTAATTAATTTTACCTCAAACAAGAAATGAACGTCTACTCCAAAATTCGTTTGTTCCGCGTCCAAAACATTGAGCGAATTAAATATTTAATTTTGAAATATAATATACTTGAGACTTAGTGAAAACGTCTATAGCCACAATACTTATCAACAATACGTATATCAAGAAACTTTTAAGACCAACTCCTGTTAATTTCAATGTAATCTAGCGATAATTTTCAAGACAAATATAAGAATGCACAGGTCTCCACGTTGTTTCTTGTTGATTTTTCTGTAAATCTGTATTCCGATGGCACATACGAGGTGCTTGGAACAAGTTTAAGTTGAAAATTTTCGACGTTGACTGTCGCTATCGCTAATAAGCGTGTGATTTGAGAGTATTGAAAAGTGGTTGCACAAACCGTGGGCGTTGTAGTGCGAGTAAGCGTGTGATTTGAGACTGCTTTATATAGAAGTGGGGGCACAAACCGTGAGCGTTGGGCTTGTGGGCCGAGCCGAGGGGCTGCGGCGTGAGCAGCTGGCCCAGCCCGAATCGCGAGCTTTTACGCTTTAGTAGCGGGGCCGAGTACTGGCGCGAGTACACTTTCTCGCGTTCTGCGCAAACAGAAACATCACTGTGGTCTTATGTTTGTTTTCAGTTACTATTCGCTTAGGCCTGTCTACCCGCTCGCTTGAAGTTAAGGTTTTTAGATTTTAATTATGATTTATTTGATTTAGTAATAAATGTTTAATTAAGGTTTTTATCGGGCTATTCAATAGGTATGCATTATTTATCGTTTATTTATATCTTACATCTAGTTTATAGGTTAAATTTTGTTATTATATAGTTGTATTTGAAATTATAAACATGCAATCATTCATAGTGATTTTTCATAAGGACAATGACCACTTTTTTATGGGAGCATGCCCTATCCATGTACAAAAATTAGATATTTATAGATGTGTAAGTAATTTAACGTGTACTTCTAGAATTTACTACACTTTCAGCAAAAAACATGTTTCACCTCAAAAAAATCTCAAATTTTCATGTCCAAGTCTATAGCTCATAAATTTTCCCACACACATGTGTATTATAAAATTTAGAAACATTAAAATTTATTTATTTTTCCAATGAACTGTGAAATTCGTATGTATACTAGAGTATTAGTCTCATGTGTAACACTTAGTTTTATTTAAATCAAATTGTATCTTTAAACTATTTCTAAACTACTTCTATTCGTATTTCTAAACTCTTGTTTCAGTTAAAAAGGATTACTAGAAAATTTATGGACGTTTTTGGGGCAGAAGTGGTCATCGTCGTCGGGATATAATAATGGTTCTTAGGCACAGCGTCATATATGATAATATACGTAAGTAATTAATGTAATTGTTTATACATTATGTATTTAAGTAAATATTGTCGATTTTGGTGTGATTTATAATCAAGTGCCGCTGCAATTAAATAACGCGTATCAAAATGCTATGTAGGATAATTCCCCAAAAGTATGGATGTTGTAAGTTTTTAAAGATATATTGATGAATGTAGATCACACGCAACAAAGTGAGATTGGCGTGCGTTACAGTGAGTATAAGTTCGCCAAATGTAAGTGGAGTGTATACCTTAATTAACTCGATGTGTAGCCTTAAATAATCACTCGTGTCATGTATCGGCTTGAGTGCACCAAGTAATTGTCTGTTCGTAATGTATCAATGTGAGTACGTGACGCGTCGGTGTGAGTAGGTAATGTATTGAAGTGAGTACGTATTGTGTCGGTGTGAGTACGTAATGTTTCGGCATGAGAACGTAATGTGTCGTTGTGAGTACGCAACAGTTGCGCACACGCATGCGTACCGAGTCGCGGGTCCGGCGGCGGCACCGCGGCGGGCGCGGAGACGGTGCGCTTGTAGGGCCACTTGGCGCCGAGCGAGGCGCTGAGCGTGTTCACGTGCGCGTCGCGCGCCGACACGCTCAGCGCCTCGTGCGCGCGCCGCACCTTGCACACGAGCCACTCCGAGCTCGTGTCGCCGCCCACCAGCTCTGTCCGTGGCGACGCGACAAATTGGACCGAGTCGGCCGACATTCGGATTGTGCAATTTCAATTTGAACCATCAACACCAGCGATGGCCAGTTTCGTAGGTCATCACTGATGGTGATGAGTGAAGGACCAAGTCTCAGTAGACTCGGTCCTTTCCGTCCGACAACCTACGCAAGTACACGTGAAGGTCAATGGCTGCAGGTGTCGGGATCCGTGCTTTTCAGTGGTTTGTAGGGGAGGCCTTTGTTCAGCACTAATGGTGATGAGAGAAGGACCAAGTCTCAGTAGAGTTGGTCCTTTCCATCCGACAACCTACGCAAGTATACGGGAAAGTCAACGGCTGCAGGTGTGGGGATCCGTGCTCTTCAGTGGTTTGTAGGGGAGGCCTTTGTTCAGCAGTGGCCTCAAACAGGATGAAATAATGATGATAATGAAGTAATTACTTTACTTACGTTTTTAAATTGAATAAAACAATCCGCAGTCATTGCATTTGTCAAAAAGCAAAATCAATAATTGTAAATCAAGTATTATTAAGGGCTCTGGTTTATTTCTTCGACCATTCTAACAAAAGTACATAATATATTGCAGTTTTAGCAGCTAAATACAACGATCCTTAAATAAACGCATATTCTTTAAATAATTGCTTGGTTACTGTGGTCTACGTTACAAGCTTGTTACAACAAAATTGATTTTGCCTAGGTTCCTTTCCTATTTACTTATTAAAAAAGGACACTTCAAAAGTTATACTTGCTAAGGTCAATCAATGATTTAAAGTAGGTTATTGGGTTATTTCAACCGTCTCCTTTACCATAAAAGTCCAAGAAAAATTGAATAATATCCCAACGTCTGCAAGAACCTTGAGCGAAAATCTCACCTCTCAAATTGGAGTAGTCAAGATTCTTGTTGGAATTGATCTGAGCTTCCAAGAGCAGGGTCTCAAAACGGTTGAGGAAGAAGTCCCAGGTGAGGATGCGCCGGTCGCTGAGGGTGTTGTGCAGTTGGTAGATGGACTGAAGCACCATCGGCCGATCCACGATGACCAGGTCGAACTGCGTCTCCAGGCAGTAGAGCAGCAGCTAGCGATGAAAGGGAATTCTGTTTATGATTGAAATTACCATATCTTGAATCTAGCGTACTTCTTAGTAAAATCAATTATTTTTAATAGCATCAGTATTTTTAGCGTTCCGTACCCAAAGGGTAAAAGGGTACCCTAATTAATAAGACTCCGCTGTATATTTGTCTGTTTATCCGTCTGCCTCCAGGCTGTATCTCATGAACCGTGATAGTAAGTTTTTTTGTAAGTACTACCTATTGCTTGTCTGCTATCATACCTGACGGTAAGTCGCGATGCAGCCGTAGATGATAAACGCGCTAGCTCAATAAATGTCTATTCACACTAACCTTGAAGACCAAAGTTGTATTTGGAAGGAAAGATGGTTTACGAAAGTTAAAGGAACGCATTTGTGCATTAATTGAAACTTGATGAAAATTAAGTAAATCAAGCTTTTGATAGAGTGTGAAATAACAACAAATTGTTTTTTTTTTTAACTGATACGTAATTAATTAGATGAGTTTATGAAAAGTACGAGTGTATTAACTAAAAGTTGTGAAGAGATATTTAGTGTTACAATGTGATTGACTTAACTGATTAATTTACATTGGGGGTTTGTTTGTGGACCAGGATGATTTTATTTCTTCGGAGTTTCTTTCTTTGTCACTGCCTACATATTGTCAATAATAGAAGGGTCGAGTCACTTTGACTTTTGATATTGAGAGTTTTGCAAAACAAAGGTTAAGGATTCCCACATCCTCCAAGTTGTGGCCGTCCACTTCGCTGAACCCTTAGAAAAAAGGTTCGTTGACTCACATTTTAGTGAAACTGGGAATGTTCTTGCAGAATCGGTCGAACGTCTTATTCTAGCCGCTCACCTCGATGGCGCTGTCGTGTATGGTGCCTATGTAAAGAGTGGCCCTTTGCGCGACGTACACGTTTATGTCGTCCATGCTCGAGATCAGGTAGCAGAAGGCGGTGGCGAGGGCGGTCTGCAGAGGCAGACTTGCCCTAATCGGTGAACCGTCCATGAATCTGGAAAGTTCGATTGATTCATTCAATTCAATCATTTATTTGCTATTTAATTCAACATTACATATATAGCTGTTACTATAAAGAAGTGCTTAAAACATTAAGATGTGTAGAAAAAAGTACGAAAAGTCTTTCGCCACTGTGGGAATCGAACCCACGTCTTCGGGATTAGCGTCCAGACGCTTTAACCACTAAGGTAATCTGACTGTGGCTGATTGCCACAACGATGAATTTCGATTATCATTTTACAATTATAATTCGAAAGGGCGAGATCGCCATAGATATTAGAAATTAAAATTTTATGGTACTAATCTCTCCCCAAGCCAATACCTTGGCAATTGCGCCATGGACTAGAAGCGCAAACATGCATCACGACAAATGCCTGGTTCCTATATTCAACGAACGGCCGTTAGTTACATAGCTTCGTAACTTTCATAACGACATGTAGATTGAAGGAACGCTAGTGACTCACTTTCTGCAGGTAATGCAGCGGCTCGTAAGGAAAACGTCTCGTTTTCTTAATATATGAACCGTACACGCCTTTTATCTACAAGTTGTTATGAAAGTTACGAAATTATGTAACTAAGGACCGTTCATTGAATATAGGAACCGGCCAAAGGAGATGCGAGGAGGGGAGGGCCCGACCTGATGATGAGCGTGACGCGCTCGACGGCCGTGAACCGCTTGCGCGCGTCCGCGTGGTGGAAGTGGTCCCTCACGAGCGAGCAGAACACGTCGGCGCCGCCGGGCAGCGTGACGCAGTGCAGCAGCACCGGCACGCTCACCGCGCTCATGTGCGACTGCGCCGCGTCGCACGCGCCCCACAGGCTAAGCGCGCACACACAAACACGTCTTACCATGCCTTTGCCTAGCTTTTGCCGCCTCTCCCAACAGCACGGTGGTAGGGCCACGCAGCCTCGGCTGTTGCACGAATGGGCAGGCTAGTCCGGGTAAGTAGCACCACCTCAAAGAAGACCGGCGTGAAGTGGAAGTATAATACTTTCGCGTTTCGTCTGGTGAGTGAAGTAGCCGGAGCCCAATTTTCAAAAGGTCATCAACGCATCTGCAACCCACGGGTGTAAAGATGTCCTGTCTGATGATAAAGGTGATGATGGGCGGCGGTATTCACTTAACATCAGGTGAACTGCCTCGATTGGCAACTTTTCACATAGAAAAAAAAAGTTACCCAACATCAATGGCACTTAATGTCTATCGCAAACAAACAGTACTGGCCCAGGGGATAAAATTTTTTGTTATTTTCTCTTTTGTAACGCTAAAGAAGTGTAACTTCATACGTGCGTACACACACTCCTTTTTAAAACATGTCCCAAGGAGTGGAAAGTAAAATAAGGATTTCAGTCCTAACTTCACTTTCCGCTCCGTCTCCAAATACCATACGTACTTTTCGATAAGCAGATTCTCCTGACACCAGATAAGGAAGCCTCTGTGCTCTGCCAATGCGTCTGTGTTTAGAACGAGTACCTGCAGACACTGCAGCAATGGATAGAGTATGTCGGGCCTCGTCGTGTTCTTCAATTCCTGTAGAGTTTAAATATTGTTAAAACTTACATTTGCACACTAATAAAGAAAATCAGTAATTGAGTGGCAGCCTCGTACTGAACATCGTAACGTTGGACAACCCCCACTAGATGGTGTGACGATGGATGCAGGTGGCTAAGGATCATGCTTCGTAGCAGTCTATAGGATGCCTATATTCAGCAGTGGACCCAAGCAGGCTGAAATAATGATGATGATGATGAAAAAAAATAATACTATAAAGTAAGAAACCGTACTAATAAGAACCATAGTTATTGGAACTGTACTTATAAGAACATGGATTTGCAGATTTCTTCGTGTTGGTCTTTCACGTCGCATACGTGGAAAATTGAGTCACAAAAGACGGTTTTATCAGTGTAAGCACTGATATATTAGTTTAATACCTACACCTAAAAGAAGAACCATCGTCGAAATAAATTACCCCCTGTATTTCGTATTCAAGACTGTAAATGGATTAATCACAGATACAATTAGTACCTGTAGCAATTGATGGATGTACTGCAGTTCCTGCGGCAGCTCGTCTATGCAGAAGTGGAACTTCCCTGCTGAGGTAGGCCAGAAGTTGGCCATGTCCTCCTCCACGGATTCCGCCATGGCTTCATGATCACCGAGCAGGTTTGGCGTCGAGATCTGTCCGCGAAGTGAAGTATTTCTTAAAAAAGAAACAAGTGTTTGACCGACTCGATGTCGACCGACATATAACCTCAGCCACATAACATCAGGTGGACCGCTCGTGTGTATCATTGTGGACCATGGACACCTACAACGCCTTAGTGTTTGCAGGCGCATTGCCAACCTTTAAAAGTAATGTTCCTTTAATTACTCGCCACACGAAACAGAAGAACATAATACTTCTACTTAACGCTGGTATCCTATGAGGCCGTGGTGCTTCCCCAGATGAGCTCGCAACCGAGGAAGTTGTTGTATTGCCCTGCCACAAAGTTATCTCCTTCATCAGTGAAATCAGATATAGTAAAGTTCGCCACTTACACCGGCAAAATTTACCTTATCCGATTCTTGATCTGTTCAAAGATTCGAAGTGTTTAGTGAGGTCATACCTCACTGAACACTTAAACACTGAATTCGGTGGTGCCGTTGATAAGCTATTGGCTTCGGTGTCGGAATTCATGGGTTCGATTCCCACACGGGACAAGTATTTGTGCGAACCACAGATAATTATTCCGGACCTGGGTTGTTTTTTAAGGTGGATTGACATCAGGTCGGTCGTAAAAAACATAGACAAAACCGCTTACAACATGATTCACATTGTGCCTATCCCACCTAGGTGGTGGGCAGGAAGATGAAGATGATGATGATGATAAGAGAGGCATGGGTCACTCACGTCGGCCGTGGCAGTGGCGACGTCGGTGTCGGTGAGGGTGATGGTGTGGGCGGTGGCCAGGGGCGGCTGCTCGGCGGGCGGAAGGCTCACGGCCATGTCCAGCTGCTCCGTTATGGTCTCCACGGTGGCGGTCATTATCTGCGCAACGTGACTTTGGTGGCAAGGATGGCGAGGATGCCGCACTGGGTTAGCAGAACTGCGCGTGGCTATGGTATCTCGCTCATGACCTGGTGGCTTGGAATCGATAACACTAGTTCTGATCCAGGCGAGGCGCCTACCGAATACACCGCGTAACCTTGCGAAATATAATAAAAAATTCTGATTGTTGCAGTTTAGTTTTAGTATTAGCGAGGTGCTACTCAGTGAGTCGCACATCAAGCGAGAAGCAATAATGTTAAAACGTATTTAAACACAGCCCTCACTCTTTCCAGATATTGATCAAACAGTAAGGTACACTCCAGCAGTCCTCAATATTCCCAGATATCGATGAGTCAGTTAACGGTCATTGGAGTTGTAGTTTCAAATAACTAGCACGACAGCATATAGCTGACCACAACTAGCAAATAGATCCACAAAATCTAGATTTGAAGTCTTTAATAGCCACATCAAATTTTATCATCTTCAACAGCCCAGCGACCGATAAAGCTTTATACAGTCTTATAACGTAGGCCGGTTATACAAGACGTATTATTGAATAGCAAACATACAGTTTATAGCCTACGTTAAAGATATTTTTGTGTACAATATTCTGAACTTATTTTAAATTTTTATCATTTATATGACAAACTTATTTCCTCAGAATTCGAAGACTCTTTGTCTTTTAACAAAACCTTTTAACAAGTTGGAACTATGGGACAACTAGTTAAATAGATTTTTAAATACGGCATGCCTTAATTACTATTTTCAGATATTATTTATTTGAATTTATCTCGTGCATTTAAAAATGGTATATTTTAATTGTCTTAAATTAATTCTGTTTACAAATAAGTCCGTGAACGTCAGTGTCACACCACCCGTGATTATTCGTCTTTCACAAAAATAATTTTGATGTTAACAAACATTTTCTTTTTATACAAATCTGAAATTTATCGGAATTTTATTTAATTGCCAACTGTGAGAAACTTTTAAGAGTTGTAGCAATAAAAGGTTTCACCGATTGTTGTTATTGTGCTACTTTAATGATTTAAATAAAAGCACTTTTATAAGAGTACTAACGATTTTACCTTGATACTAATATTTTAACTATTACTGAACTTTAATATTAACAACTATTATAACGACAAGCAGCACTAGTGGTTATATCACCGTCCGGTAACGCGGCCGAAATCCAAGTGACCGCTGCTCTATGCGACCATGTGTCCCTTAGCTCGAGTAGATAACGTCATATCCGGTAAACAGTGTTGCCAGCGCCAACACTTTAATAAAAAACCAGAGAACCCGATAACGGTAAGACGACTTAGGTACAGTTTGGCTCATAATGCACTGTTTTAAGCTTTCACAACTCTAATACAGGGTGTATTTGGGTGTAATACGTGTGTGACGTTTGCGCAACAAAGAAGAATCTAACTTCATAATCATTCATCAAAACGGGCAGCTTATTAGTTACGAGGGAACACAGGGACGAAATACATAAAGGAAACAAAAATACCTCACCTATTTGGCTTTGCTGCAGTCGGGTAAAAATTTTACATTTTACAATAATCTAGTCGAGAAAATGAAAACGCAATTTATTTATAATGTCTCCGACTGGAATTATTTACAGTGATCTTCCGAATATTTTAATAAATCTGTTTAATCCTGCACTGAAGGTGAGACCGGTAAATTTCAGATTGCTGTCAGAACCGAAGAAAACGCACAAAGGTACGGACGTGACACAGACGGGCACGGAGCAAATCAAACGGACACACGTGAAGAAGCGTGGGCAAGGTAATCAAGAGATCAAACATACTTGCGTGTCGCCTGACGATTTCGTCAAAGTAGTTTCCGAGCCGACGTCGCTTATGAGAGAGAGTTGCATGAAATGAACAAACTATACATCTATTATATAAGGTCGTGCGCAGACCGGATATGTTCTTCAGGTAGTTGGATAAAAGATTAAGAGCAAAGGTCAAAAAGTCAAAGGATAAACTTAACTAAACGAAAACCACGTTATTTGCAGTACCTGAGTACAGTCGAAGCAGAAAAATAGTTTGCATGAAAGTAACAATAAATTGAATCGACAGTTAGGATAAAAACCAACTATCCTGAAGGCACATCACTTTCGGGGCAAGGACCCTACACTATATATACAAAAACGCTAAATTTTATCGATGCCATGTGCTCGTATGATTTGGCGGGAAAGGGAAGCCTCATAAAGAGGAAAATATTTGGTAATTACACTAAAAAATCGAATATCCTATTTAAATAAATTAACTAACCTATTTAGAGATTTTATCTTCACTGATAATATGTCGTAAGTTACTAAATATTTGTGTTGAATTTTTAACTTTTATTACAGTTTTTAGAATTTCATCAAACATTTATAAACATTCCATAATTTTTAACTCTTTCGCGTGTTTAATGGAACTATTAGATATATGTTTGAAAATCTATTTAAGTTTTCTATGAACAGAACGTCATATTACCAGGAAGCAGTCTATATATATCTAAGTATGTACAATAATTCAATTTGAGTCAATACTTTGGGCCTTGTAAACGTTTTCAAATCAGTTTCTTTTAACAACTTGATTTTAGATAATACTTAACATTTCAAACGAACGCAACACGAAAATAAGGTAATAGATATCTCAGAAATTAATAATTAAATTAAATTAATACATCAATACGCGAAAATAAACCCGAACATAACGTTTGCAAGACTTAAATATCAATTAAATATTATCTAATTCCCAAAATATATTAACAGATTTTTTATTTATTCATATTTATTTAAGAAATTATTATTAGAAGAGGAACTAACCAGAAGCTCTATAAATAAGACTGTTCCCATAGTATTAATCTAGGACCAATTTCGAAAACAATAATTTATCATAACATGGACATATGGAAACAATCGTGATCGAACATGCAGAGAAGAGAAGTCAGAAAAAGAGTACTGAAAACTTTACAGTTCCAATTCGAAAGGCATATATTTAAAGAGAATATTATCAATAGCCTGGATAAGTCTTAAGCCTAGGAGGGGCGTAATTTATGGCATGATCGAACTTAAATGCACCGAGTGAAGTTGGCCCTGAGAGCTCTGCACTTGTATCGTCGTGTGAAAATAATCTAAAAGAAAAAGATTCTATTTTATCTAGAATGATTGTTGCTTACAAAAACGTTGTCTGCGCGACTGTACACCAACTTGTAGCGGGAGTGAGACAGGACGCGTTTAAGACTACGGTGCGAGCGGGACGGTAATATCCGCATCTTCGGACCAACTTCAGAGGTGCATTAGAACGAGCTCCGGCGAAATCACACGAGCGTCGGCGGGGTGGGCGTGGGCTTAGGAGGTTTAGGTGTGGGATCGGGTCGGGTGGGCGTGGGCTACGTACATGCGGCATGTGCACCAGCACCCCGCCCACGGAGCTCTTCTCCAGCGGGTGCGCGATGGACATGAGCGCGTCCACTGAGGCCGCTGGCGTGCCGCCAGACTTGCTGCGCTCTTCCTCCGATTGGGCCTTCTTCATCTGCGTCTCGCACCAGCTCTCCTCGATGGACGGCTGCCCCGGGTTCATTAATCAATCGGACACGCATAACGATACTATGGCACGCCAATGTGACGGTTCGACCATCCGCAGTTTCAAATTCTACACTCATCACTAAAGTTGACCGATGAAATTGTTAATTTTCAGTGCATAATTCAGCACTACTTGCTCAGCGGTGAAGGAAAACGAGGAGGATGAAATAATATCCAAAGAGATTGAAGTCACCGGCCCAGTGGGGTCACATGGTGGATGGCCGTTGCCCAGCAGTGGGATTTGTGCAAGCTGTTTGTTTCTTTATACCTAGTTTGTCTAGTCTCAAAGTATAACTGGTGATGAGCCTAGTCCTGAACAAATATGCGATACATATTTCATAAGTAGGATCCGAAAAAGGGATATTTAAATACCCGTAATCTCCAGTTGTGTCATGCCTTGCGGTGCTCTCTTATAAAGCTGAAGACCACTAAGAGTGTTTTAGTAGACAGAAATCAGATAGTCTAATAACAAAATAGTCCAATGATAGCATCCAGGTATTAGACTATCTTCTATTTCCTTCTTCGAGGCGTACTCATACGTAGTACCGCGTGACACCGGTGTGTTCCATAGAAGATCCTGGAGTCCCTCCAAACGTGCAAAAGGTGGCCACTGAGGGGTTTTAGTGGGTAAGAACCCCACGTAACCCTGTCATGTGAGGGATGACAGGGTACCTTTTGAAGATTACAAGCGGCATTGGCACTGAGGGAAAGTAAGGGTAAACGAGGAGGATGCCAAAGAGTTGGCACCGGCCCTCACCTCGTGCTGCGCCCTGGAGCGGCAGGGCACCAGCGCGCGCACCAGCCGCACGCCCAGCTGCTGGCACAGCGCCGCGGCGGAGCAGTACGAGCACGCGCCGCCCGCCAGGCACGTCGCTGCAACCAGGCAAGCTGCAGCCGTGGCAGGGCCGCGCGACGGCCTCCGCTGTTGCACGAGTGGGCAGCTCCCGGGTAGCTCGTGAAGTGGAAGTGTTGCACCTCTGCGTTTCGTCGGGTGAGTGAGGTAGCTGGAGCCCACTTTATTGTAAGGCGGCAACGCGTCTGCAACCATACGGGCGTGGCACATGTCCATGGGCGGCGGTTATCACTTAACATCCGGTGAACCAGCAGCTCGCTACGCAACAGTCTAAGCTCACCACGTTCAAACATAAAAAAAGAAAACCGATTTGTTGATGATCCTCAAAGTTACCCTAAACGCAAAAAATGTGAGAAAGAGCATAAAAATTGTTATAGCATAACTCCATTTACCGTGTTCTATGGTGTTCATCTGATTGGACTTGAGCATGAGACGTAGAAGCTTGGTTGCTTCGCTGCTGACGTTCTGGATGTTGATACGGCTCTGTTGCAGCTCAAGCTGCAAAGAATACGGGATTTCAAAGACCAGGCGACTTTCACTCGAGTCTCCAAATCAATTAAAACTTAATTCAAATAATAATTTCACTGCAAGCGAAATTATTGCAGTACTATTTCGATATTACAAGCCTATGTTAATGGTTTTTGGGTTTTGACCGGTTGCTCTTCGACCAGAATGAAACGATGACGTTTCATTCTGGTCGAAGAGCAACCGGTCATACATATTTCATTAGAAATTGTAAAAATTCAACACTGTTATCGTCACGGTGAAAAATAAAAAGTGCAAGCACTACAACTAATGGGGTAGAAAGTGATAGCTGGTGAGCCTGTCGGTGTACACCAGATGTGTATAGATAATATACAAATGTGAAATAGATAGTACACATATGTGAAATAGGCAATAATGTGCGGTATACAAGTGTAATAAAAACAGTAATTAAAGAGTAGAGTGACAACCTGTTTCAGCAATATGTCCAGCATTAGGATGCAGCAAGTCATGTTCTGTGGTTTCATCTCATCAGCCTGCTCTTTCTCTTTGTCGTTGGCTTCCGGTGAGGTGTTAGTCTCGTGGTTAGTGTTGTCTTTAGACTTGGAGCTTTCTGATGATGAAGATATGACTAAGTTTATTTCATTTTTGAATTCACTAAAATGTTTTATTACACAACAGGGTAAATCATTAAAAATTGTAAAACAAATACGTTGTTGTTGTTTAATTAAATAGATAGCTCGAGCAATCCAGGTTCAAACCCCGGTGCCGGCACAATTAAATTGTTAACATTAAATGCTTAATTATCACGTGGTCTGCGGTGAAGGGAAACTGCATATTTTCAAAATAATAACAAAAAATTATCTAAGAAATGTGAAGTCCGCCAATCCACAGTGAGGCCGCGTGGTGGACTACGCCAATACACATTTGGGTTGTTACTTTACTTCACTTTTTTTATTAAAATATTAAAATGTTTCTTGCATGGCAACCACAAACATTAAAGTATAAGCTAAAATAGTTAAATATTTAACGAAGCGGTAAATACCCGATGGTGCTTTTACGAGATTCTCGGGCATGTTGATCACGCAATGGCTGAACAGCTCGAAGAGTTGTGAAAGAGGTATTTTCACTTCCAACAGGGAAATCGTCTGAAACGTAATCAAACATTTTATATCACGAAAAGAATTCGAAGGTCTTTGGCAAGCTTTATACAAATTGTACAGTAATTATAACCTTTCACGCCTTTTGACCCTAAAGGTTAAAAGTTAAGACGATGACTCCGTGGCGCAGTTGCCAAAGTATTGGTCTCGACGTCAGAGTCGTGCGTTCGATTCCCACACGGGAAAACTATTTGTGTGACGCACAGATAGTTGTTTCGTATCTGGGTGTCTGTCCACGTGAAATTCACAACACAGGATAATTTGATCCTAAAGTTAAGTTAGCAATGTTTATTAAAAAAAATAAGGAAAATGTAAAGAACATTGACGTTCGCGTAATACAATTAAAATTAGTTTTAAACGATAGAGAAAAATCACTAATGAATTGTTCATTAACAATCTGTGACTCAAAATTTAAAATAAAAAAAAAATCGAACAATCGATACGAGTATGACATCGCCCGCTTTCTATATTTATCATGTTGACAGAACTGTTTCTTGAGTTGTTGAAGTAAAATTAATAAAATAATAGACTTTTTCGGAGAAAATAACAAGTTTTAAATATTTTATAATACGCGAACGTCAATGTCCTTTACATTAACCAAAAATAAATAAAATAAGTAAATAAATAAATATTTAGGACACATTTTTACACAACATTCTCTAGTCTCAAACTAAGCAAAGCTTGTACTATGGGTACTAGATAACTGATAAACATACTTTTTTTTTGTAAATAAATACATATTATACATATATAAACACCCAGACACTAGAAAAATACTATGTTCATCACACATTATTTTTCCAGTAGTGGGGATCGAACCCACAATAAAATTGAATATAGCTAGCCGTTTTTTCGGCAAAGGGTAAGATTTAGTACCTGCAAAAAGTTGAGCCAATATTGTTACGTCCTGTTCAAGAAGTGAACCCACCTGGAACCATTCGAGTACTGGCAGCACCGTGTCCGGCCGGGGCTTGTCGCTGACCTTGAGGACGGCGAAGTTGTAGAGGTCGCGCTCGTCCACGCCCACCATGCTGCCATCCGGCTCCAGGATCTTGGCCACTGGCACCTTCAGCTCCATCAGCTCCTGGCGAAGGACTCCGATCGTGAAGAGTCCAGGAGTCGGAATCTCAACCCGATATTCATATCGCATACATCTACCTCAAGATTATTGGGTAACACTTCATCGTGAATTGTCGGTTTCTGTAACGTGTAGTTAACGTATTAGCGTAAGTTCAACGAAACGTCCTTTTAATGATTTTCCATTACAAGAACATTTTATTCAAATATAATGATTGATGACTCCGTGGCGCCGTTGCCAAGGTATTGGCTTCGGCGTTGGGGGTCGTGGGTTCGATTCCCACACGGGACAACTATTTGTACGACCCACAAATAGTTGTTTCGCATCTGGGTGTTTGTCCTCGTGCAATTTATGTTTGTAAAACGTCCTTACAACACAGGATAATGTTATCCTAAAGTTAGGGCAATGTTTTAAGAAAACAAAAAAAAAAAAGAATATTTCGAAGACCACGCAGCCACGGTAGGAGGGCCACGCAGCAGCCTCGGCTGTTGCACGAATGGGCAGGCTCGTTCGGTTAAGTATCACGACCTCACAGAAGATCAGCGTGAGGTGGAAGTATAATATTTTCGCGTTTCGTCTGATGAGTGAGGTGGCCGGAGCCCAATTTTCAAAGGGCTGTCAACGTATCTACAGCCCTCGGGTGTAGCAGATGTCCATGGGCGGCGGTATTCACTTAACATCATGTGAACCGTCAACTTGCTTGGCAACTTTTTACATAAAAAAACTGGATATTGCACACATAAAAATACAGAAAAATAATAATTAAAGAGAATTATCAAAATATATGTTGTCCAAATAAATTACACGATAAAATAAATCTAACCTTTTCCGGAACGTCCGTGCAGATAGCTTCCATCCAAGCTGGCATGATGCAATCCCAGATAGACTGTGTGATAATCCCATAGGGAATCAAACAGTACAGTCTGAAAGATAATATTAAATAGTATTAAATACCGCTCGCCTTTAATTCAATTTACTCGAGCGACCTCAGTTCCATTGATGAAATTAAATGAATGAATGTTATTTTTAAGTGCTGAATTATCGCGTGCTAAGCGTTGAACCGAAATATCATGATTAAACCTGCATATTATCGAAATAATAACAAAAAAAATATTTCGAAGATACGTGAAGTCCGCCAAACCGTAGTGAGGCCGCGAAGTGGACTAGACTACTGACCTCTGTATAGAGGAGGCCTTTGCCCAGCAGTGAGATATGTATAATCTGTTACTTTATTACTTTATCTACAGACTTTGTGCCGGATTCCAATTTGAAAAACATCGTTTTCGATACGATTATCGATATTGATTCCCACCCATGTTAACTATGCGATGTGGGCGACACAAAATAAGCAGACGCCAGATGCGTAGCCATCATTCAAAAGCGGGCTAAATATTTCTTTGACCCCTATGATTGGCCTATTGCCATAGTACTCTATGGCCAATCCGAACCTACTGCTGGACACTTATCGCGCAATGTGTGTGTGTGACTTAGCAGCTGGGTCCTATGATTGGCCTAGTACCCTAGGGTTACGAATTCACTGCTAGACACGTATCGTGCAATGTGGGTGTCTTAGCAGCGGTATTCTGTGATTGGCCTAGTGCCATAGAGTAGCTAATGTGGGTGTCTTAGCAGCGGTATTCTGTGATTGGCCTAGTGCACTATCGGCACAGAGTAGCCCGTACTGGCACCTGTTGAGGCCGTCCTTGAGGTGGTGCGCCTTGGAGGCGAGCGCGTCCCAGTGGCCGGCCTGGCGCGCGTGCGGCGGCGGCTGCGGCAGCAGGCACTGCAGCAGCACGCGCGGTTGCCGCTCCGCCACGGCGCGCACCCAGCCGCACGCGTGCTCGCACTTCAGCCGCTCCACCGCGGCGGCCGTCTCGCCTGGCCCAAGCCCCGCTCTTTTACGTTGCGAGTGCCGACGCCAAGTGCCAACCGCCCCCAGTGGACGCGGGGCTCTTTTACGTTGCAAGTGCCGACGCTAACTGCCAACCGCCCCCAGTGGACGCGGGGCTCTTTTACGTTGCAAGTGCCGACGCTAACTGCCAACCGCCCCCAGTGGACGCGGGGCTCTTTTACGTTGCAAGTGCCGACGCTAACTGCCAACCGCCCCCAGTGGACGCGGGGCTCTTTTACGTTGCAAGTTAACTGCAAGTGCCGGGGCTCTTTTACGTAAACTGCCAACCGCCCCTAGTGGACGCGGGGCTCTTTTACGTTGCAAGTGCCGACGCTAACTGCCAACCGCCCCCAGTGGACGCGGGGCTCTTTTACGTTGCAAGTGCCGACGCTAACTGCCAACCGCCCCCAGTGGACGCGGGGCTCTTTTACGTTGCAAGTGCCGACGCTAACTGCCAACCGCCCCTAGTGGACGCGGGGCTCTTTTACGTTGCAAGTGCCGACGCTAACTGCCAACCGCCCCCAGTGGACGCGGGGCTCTTTTACGTTGCAAGTGCCGACGCTAACTGCCAACCGCCCCCAGTGGACGCGGGGCTCTTTTACGTTGCAAGTGCCGACGCTAACTGCCAACCGCCCCCAGTGGACGCGGGGCTCTTTTACGTTGCAAGTGCCGACGCTAACTGCCAACCGCCCCCAGTGGACGCGGGGCTCTTTTACGTTGCAAGTGCCGACGCTAACTGCCAACCGCCCCCAGTGGACGTTTGCGATACAGATACGGTGCCGCCTATGCTGTGCTGTTTGTGTTGGCAGGTGGCAACGTATTGGCGAGCTGGCGGTTCGCCCGATGCAAAGTTATATCCCTTGCCCGTAAACATTCAAAGAGGGCCTCCTCTTAAATAGGCTCCCGGTCACCACGGTCAGTAGATGAAACGCGAACGGTTAACACTTCTATTAGGTCGTGGTACTTTCCCGGACGGACTTGCACATTCGTGCGACAACGAAGACTATTGCGTGACGCTACCACAGATTCCACTGCGACCTAGAAGATCTATTGTAATCTTTCCGTCGAAAACATTGTCCCCACACTGTAGGATAACATTATCCTGTGTTGTAAGGACATTTTACAAGCATCAATTTTAAATGGACAAATATCCATTCCCGTGTGGAAGTCTTGGCAATTGCGCCTAAGAGTAATCAAATCTGTTAGGGCTGGCGAGTCGTTTCAACGCTACGGTTCGTGGGTGCGATTTCTAACCTCGAAACGTGCGCATATTAGGTTCGATTTATAACAATAAATTACCGTTATTACAAAAACTTATATTGCTACAGCAAGAATATGTTCACGGAATCTTTGGTAGCTAGCTTAATCATTATGAATGACAATTTTGTTTAATAAACCCTTGTGCACGCATATTAACAACACATAACCTGAATTACGCTCAGATTTTTATTGGCAATAATGACAGATCAATGTCCCTTTTTATAAAACATTTAACCATCGTCGTGATGATTATGTTTCGAGAGAAACTATTATCTGGTGACTCATAGGTCTTACGAAATCACGGATATCACTGTCGCGTACCGGTGTAGGAGAAGGAGGTGACGTGGAACCAGTGGAAGAGCACGGAGAGCAGCCTGCCGAGGATCTCGTCGGGCGTGTCCGGGTTCGGAGTGCACAGCCCCACCAACAGCCAAACGCCGTACCTTCGAGGATGTAAGCCATTTAAATTATGCCACATATGGGACACTGACAACCTTAAGTCCAATAAGAATAATTAGAGATTAAGAGACCCTTCAAGAAGAGAGCATACTCTTTCCTAAAAGGACGGCAACGCATTTGTAAGCCCTCTGGTGTTGCAGATGTCCATAGGCGGCGGTGGTCACTTACCATCAGGTGAGCCTCCTGTTCGTTTGCTGCTTTTTTCCCATAAAAAAAAAGTAGATGATTCATTACGAAGCTTTCTGTTGTACACGATTTATCAATTTTACCTCTTAAGGGACAACTATTACCCAATATATTTCTAAAGCGTGTTAGTGTTCTTCATCCATCGCTGTTTCTACCGTTGCCTCCCGATTGTTCTTATCAGGTATTGAAAATTACCGAGAAACACATTTTTAAGGAGATTATGTCATTTTCAAGTGACTGCTGGTAATATTGATTTTTGTGGAAAAAAACAGATCACCGCCGCCTATGACCTTAAAGGCCTGGAACGCATTTGCAACACGGGAGAGCTTGCAAATGCGTTGCCAACCTTTCAGAAATATGTTCCATTCTTTGAGCTTTACTAATGTCATATCTACCTCGTATTTGTATATAATATCATCGACCCCATCACCTAATCACAACAATACATCCATTAACACATTCCCTCTTTTGCCCAATCACTTATTACATTTTCTTCATTTAGCTGCCTTCGATATTTACCTTCCCAGCAGTTGTCGATCCTCTACTGAGATGGGGTCGGGAAGGTTCACAGACAACGGCGGCTTGAGCTGCTCCGCCGAACTGTCGGGATCCTCCATGTTTATGGGCTTCGCTTCTTTCAGCAGACTAGACAACAAGAAGCTGTTGTTAGCATCCAATAAAATACGATAATATGTTTAGTTTTAAATAGTACTTCTCCAAGATAGTCTTTTATCACGTTTTAAAACAACCCTAGCTTTGAAACTTAAATTTCTCTGGCAAGTTTAATGAAAGACTAAGACTTTTACAGTATAATTTTTCACGCATGAATCTGAAGAACGAAACTGATGAAAAATCTGTTAAAGAATTATAATTGTTTCAATAGTTTGGGTCCAGTGAATTTCTAAATATTTGTAAACACATTCAAAGCTTTTTTATCTCGTCTTGCTTTCGGTAGAGTAGTGGCAACCGTGAGAGCTGGAGTCGAGACACGATTAATGTCTGCAATTGGTGAAAAGCTAATGGTCGTTGAAAGCTGTCGAGTTAGCAGTGTCGTCGATGAGGGCATGATAAGTAAAGTTAAAGTAAAGTAAAGTAAAGTAACAACTATAAATGTACCGCTGCTGGGCAAAAGCCTCATCTTTAGTGAAGGTTTAACGGTGGTAGAGCCACGCAGCAGCCTCGGCTGTTGCACGAATGGGCAGGCTCGTCCGGGTAAGTACCACGACCTCACAGAAGACCGGCGTAAAGTGGAAGTATGACAAATACTTTCGCGTTTCGTCTGGTGAGTGAGGTAGCCGGAGCCCAATTTCCAAAAAAAAGGTTGTCAACGCATCTGCAAACCCTCGGGTGTAGCAGATGTCTATGGGCGGCGGTATTCACTTAACATCAGGTGAACCGTCTGCTCGTTTCGCGACTTTTCACAAAAAAAAAAAAAAAGGTATCAGGGCATAAGCGGCCCAACTGCGGATTGGCGGGCTTCACATATTTTCTGAAAACAAAAAAAATTGATATTATTTTGAAAATATGCAGGTTTCCTTAAGATGTTTTCCTGCACCGCTGAGCACATGGTAATACAGGACTTGTAATTAACAATTTCATTGGTCGGCAACGGGGATCTAACTCAGGTTGCTCGAGTAAATAGAATTAAAGGCGAGCGCCCGGACCCTGGTGGAGAAGACAATTGGACGTTGGAAGCTGTGGAGTCGGCACTGTCACCTGATGACCGCCTCGACGAGGTTCGTCTGCATGTCGCTGTCCATGTGCCAGGCGGGTGGCAGCCGCGAGTGGATCACGTGGTCACCGCCGCGCCGGCTGTTGTGCCGGTTCCCGTGGCACTGCTGGCAGTATCTGCGCCGTGCCAATGGCAGTTTCAAGTATGCAATACGGATTCTGCAGCGGCATTACCATCCGATGCAAGTTCAGTTGGCCAGTATTTACCGACAAGTAATGTTCACTAGTAATAACAGCTAGGTCACACTATACTGCTTTTACTAGTTTTAACTATTCAGTTTGTGACAAACAGTCGATGTGTTTGAACTTGAAAGTGCAAAATCTTAACTATTCAGTTTGTGATAGAAAAATAGTAAAAGTGTTATGACTTAGAAATGTAATAATCTAGTTATGACAGAACTACTCAGATATGGCTATCACGGTTCCAATTACCTCCAAATTAAATGACAGGCGTATAAAATTAATGACTCGTATATCCCACATCTCAATGTATGCGCAAAATTGAGTGCTCTTATTTACAGAATCTACGCAAAACTAAGAAACATAGAGAATTAAAATTTTATTATGACAATTACTTCGCATCATTGCAATCAACACAACGCACGCTGATATAGATAATGATTTAGTAGTAACACACTCCATTTCACTAAATACAAAATCCAAGCTATATGGATTCTTTGGACGTAAGAAACTGTATAACTGAAGACATACCTGATAGGATGGTTGCCATTATAGCTGGCGCATTCGTTGCTGAAGCAGATGGAATATGCCGATTTGTCCGTAGAGCGGCAGTTCTGCAAATTTAATTGGTATTTTTATACCTAACTGTGGTAGGGCCACGCAGCCGCCTCGGCTGTTGCACGAATGGGCAGGCTCGTCCGGGTAAGAACCACGACCTCTCAGAAGACCGGCGTCAAGTGGAAGTATAATACTTTCGAATTTCGTCTTTCAATCTTCATAACGTCGTCAACGCATCTGCGACCCTCGGGTGTAGCAGATATCCATGGGCGGCGGTATTCACTTAACATCAGGTGAACCGCTGCTCACTTGGCCACTTTTCACATAAAAAAACTTCCTTCGCGCCGTTAGTGATTTCGCATACACTGACTAAACAGATCGGGATGAATGAATGAATGAATGAATGAATGAATGAATACTTTATTGTCCAACACACAGGTTGGGTTGGGTGGATGATATTTGCAGTGAAGACGTTTACTGGATTTACAAATGGAGTACTCGAATACGGACGCGAAAACTGCTGACCTTGTTCTCACAAACCATCGACACCTGCTGCTGCGGATGAAGGATGTCGAAGAAACGCTGATTCGGATGTTCCCTGCGGAATCATCGGTAAGTAGAATTGGAACAGAATTATATGAAAAAAGTCAAGTCAATAACCTATTTCTAAGTGTACTGTCATTAAACTAAAAATGGCAACTCATAGTCGATGAGTTTTGGCTATCTCATCCATAATTTACGATAAGTAACAATACTTATCGCTAATAAGCTATTTCTTCCAGGCAACCTAGTAAAAGGAAATAGTAAAAACAGTAGCATCTGGTAACGGTGTAAACTGAATTGATAAGAGAAATTTATTAGTCAAAATATAAATACGTATTAATAAAATATACATAAATACACATGCAAACACGCTAAATTAATATAAATATATACGTTATAAATAATGTATAATTATTTAGACATAAGTTGACAACATCGAGGAATAGAACACTAGAGAATGTTGTGTAAAAAATGTGTCCTAAAAATATTTATGTTATCCTTTAAACGAGCAATTCTTGTATATATATATATATATATATATATATATATATATATATATATATATATATATATATATATATATATATATATATATATATATATATATATATATATATATATATAATCGGAATCTCGGAAACGGCTCCAGCGATTTTCATGAAATTTAGTATGTGTAGGTTTCATTTTTAAAAAATGTCCTTTTATCCCTGTTTTCAGGGAATGAAAAATATAATTCGAATATGACGGTAAATTTCGCCGCAAGAGAAAATGTCATAATAGCTCGGTCGGTAATCGGGCGGCCCCAAAACAGACGACCGTGTTTCGCGTCACGATCATTTACACATTTGTTTTTTTACTTTTTTTTCGATTCCAGATCATTACTTTCTTTATTTTTAATTTTTTGTCGATTTGTTTTTTTGTTATTTTATTCCCTTTTTTTAAAGTTCTAAATGTAATTTCCAAAATACACGATTTACCAAAAAAAAACAAACCGAGCAAAGCTCGGTCCTCCGGGTACTATTTATTTATTTAAGCAGATATGACGTCACGTGGCCCGTCCAGCCCACCTGTGGATCTCGTTGGCGCACTCGATGCACAGGTAGAGCGGCGGCGGCGTGTCGGAGGCGAAGGTCACGCTGATGCAGTGGTCGTAGCAGACCTTGGCCGCCTCCGCGCTGCCCGCGTTGGGGCACATGTCGCGCTGGCACAGGAACGGCACCAGGTCGTCTGCGCATGTTACGTGTGCTATACTCTATCAACAGCCTACATGTGTCCTATGTGCCTATATGGATATTAGGTCATAGTCCACCGCGCGACCCCACTGCGGATCGACAGACTTCACATGTCTTCCAAATATTTTTCTTTTCGTTATTATTTCGACAGTATGCAGGTTTCCTCACGATGTTTTCCTTTACCGCTGAGCACGTGATAAGTCATCACTTAAAATTAACCATTTTATTGGTTCCAGCATCGGGATTTGAACTCAGGTCGCTCAAGTATTTAATTATAAGCGAGCGTACAGACAATGAGCCATCACGGCGCTAAAGTGTGCGGCATAAAAATACATCACGCACACAAGAATTCTAATTGGATTCTAGGGATAGGAACTCAATATAACTAACTAGGGCTAACGTATAAAAAGCAACAAACTGGAGAATTTGCAGAGCAGGCCCTTGCGGTCGAAGAGTTTGGCGTCGAAGGGCGGCCAGTAGTAGAACAGGAGCTTGGCGGCCGAGAGGCGGGCCCCCCAAGTGCCATGGGCCACCACGCACAGAACGTCCCGGACCGCTTGCTGCTTCATAGACATCAGGCACTCCAGCAGTTGGCAGTGGTGAGCTATTGTCATCAACAGAAGGGGGTGGTGGGTGGGAAAATCATCAGAAATATAAATGGTTCGAACTTCTACCGACTTCTTCGGGGTCCATGCAGGAGAGAGTTAGAGTCTCCAAATCCCTCGCGATGAGTGTTATTTTTGGAATAAACGAATAAGTATTGTTTATTATCTACTATTTTTAAGGATACGAAATTGTGCAAGCACTGTTCGCCTGGTGTTAAGTTAGAAGCGTCAACGATGGACAGTCAAAAAACCAGAGAAGAATTGTCGCAATGTTGTTAAGTATTTAGAAGGAGTGTTTCCACTTAGCTTACTCGAGGAGCGAAACGCAATAGTATACATACTTCACGTCGGTCTTTTGTGAGATCATGGTATTTTCCCAGTGAGCTGATCTATTGGACTGATGATTTGCCTCGAGCTGGTCTATTCGTGCAGCGAGGTAAGCTGTTGTTGCTGTACCACTGTTGAATCGGGGTTCGCGAGAAATGTCGAACGGTATACATATACACTGTAACAGGTAATTCACTTGCGTTTTGCGGTAGATTCTCTCTAAGTCCTTGACAGAAAGAGGTATGGGGCTCTTTAAACCTAGGGACATCATATGTTATGCCATAACTATTGCGTGTTAAATGAATATAAATATGCTACAAAACCATATAGATCTAACGGATAGAGAGTTATTTGTCTATCCACTTGTTACCAAGTTTATGTCACGGACGTGTCGTGTAGCTTGTACGGACACGAATGCCAGGAAGTGACTTTTTGTGACTTTTTGTGACGTTTTGCAACTAAGAATTTGAGATTTCAACCCGCACTCTAGCATCGTAAGTTCGAAGTCCTAGCCTAGGAGATTACCAAGAAATAAAGGTATGCTTAACGAATATCCAATGTATATACTAACATTTTTCACGAATCACTAGATAAATTCAAAAACTGCGTACTGGAACCGTTCTAAAACACTACTATGTGTTAGCGAAGATATGTTATTTAAAACCTATCATCGCTTTAAGCATTATGTTATATATTGATATTTTTATAACTAAAATAAAAGTAATTCCATAAAAACAATACAACAACAAATATGTATCAGAAATTGTGAAATGCGTCGAATATATATTATTTATATATATCTCAGATAAAGTATCAAGAATGCACCTGGGTTGTTAGAATGTTGAAACACCATCATGATGATGGCCCCCACGGATTGGGATGCTTGGCTTTCCTCCTCCATTCCGGAGTAGCGACGCGCTGCATTATAAATAATAAGATTATTGTAACGTATACACAGAAACACGATTATGTTGCATATAAAACTTCTAGCAACATCCACCAACAACATTGTTCGCATTTCCGTAACTGTTAGGGGCGTTACTAAATAAAAGACTTGTGGACTGTAACTTGATTATTGGCCAAACTGTACACTTACAACTGAAAATGAAGCGCACGTAGTTAACTGGCGGCACGATTAGAAGAAAAAAATATAGCGGTCTGGTTGTATAGCCCCTCGTCCCCAACCATGCCCCAACCAACCATACTTAACTATACCACTTTTAACAGCGAATGAGCTAGTTTTTTGATGGAAACGACAAATTTCGAGAGATTACAAAATGATTTTCAATTATTTGTATTGTTATAATTCCTATAGACTTTTTGTTAGTAACTGTTGCAGGTAATATTAATCTTGGTACTCGATACTCACTGATTGTAAATGGCAGTATGTAGTAACACAACAAATGCAGTATCTCCTGATGTAAGGAGGCAGGGAACACTGCCACACAGTACGCGACGAGGTAGGGCAGGTTGTCTATCATGTCGTATTCCAGAAATGGTAGCAAACATCCCAAACATTGGAGAACAGCTTGCCCAAAAGCTAGAACAAAAATATATACCCACGAATAGCTTAGTGCTTTCTGCTAATGTTTTCATGGCATCGGCAGGTGTATCTTCAAGGACAAAATTCTCAACGATTTTAACATTTTCTTTAACAGTGACAGTAACCAGCCCGCTCGTTACTGTCGTCTTAAATACTCCCTGTTTGAATTCGCCAGAAAACTTCTGAATACTAAAAAGTGCGTCCTAGTATGATACTAAAGGAGCAAAATTTTGGTAAAAGCCACAATTTATCCATAAATAGCTCTTTGAGACTTTTTCGGTTCTCGGTTTTTTTCAACATTGTCGTATCAGTCATCGCCGTTGCCTTTTCTCGAAGTATTCATTATATTTCACAAGTGTGACACAAAGTGACAATTAAATGAAATTTTATATATACACCCTCAAATACTGTCTTTAACTAGTGAGATAATTTAATTACCCTCATCATTAGTATACCAACCCGATGCCGAGAATACGTTCAACGCCCCTCGTAATGTCTAGTGCCTACCTTGAATGCCGTACTGAATGTGGGGAGCGGAATCGACTAGCTGCGAGATCGCATTGAACAGTCCCTTGTAATCCAAATTGGGGTAGAGGGCCATTCGCTCCGCGTCGCAATCAGCATCCCTGATCATCTCAAGAGGCGATCTGGGTACATCCTTCAGCACACCTGTAGATTAAATCAACGATAAGAGATAATTATCCATTTTTCTTGTTTTGTTTTATAACGTTTTTATGTTATTTCAAATACGTTTGGATTCGACCGATGTTTTACACTTGATATTAGGATAGTCATAAACATGGTTTAAACAAGTTCTAATTCTGGATTATAGACCATACGTCTGGTAAAAAATATATACATAGATACCAATGAATATATTAAGGTCAAAAATAGTGTATTGTAACTTAAACAAACCCCGCATTTGGTTAGGTTTTTCATGCAAGCTGCCCATTGGATACAGAATGGATATTTGAAAAAAGGTAAAGTAACAGCCTTCATATGTGCCACTGCTGGGCAAAGGCCTCCTCTGAACAAAAGGAAATTAGGGCATAGTCTGCCACGCGACCCTATGATGGTGCGGATTGGCGGACTTCACATGTCTTCGCATAGATATGCGATGGAGTGTATATACACTCGTTAGCAAATAATCAACTCACGCCTTACGCTTGCAGTAATTTCTTGACTACAATACATTCATGATGATGGTTTTAGCTTTAAAATGAGATGACAATTATATTTCGGAATCCCATCTTTTCTACGAACCTCGGGGTCACAAACCTACTGCTCGAACTTGTATACTCTGCTGGCAAGCAGCAGTTGGTTGTGACGTGGTACTTAGATAAGGGTAGACCAGGTAAATCAAATTTTACCCTAATTAGCGCTATTGTAAACAGGTACATAAATGATGATTAGCAATAACAACATGTTTTGTTTCACATAGCAACCGTAGCATTGAAACTGAATAATCCATTACTGTATTTTTTTTATGTGACAAAGTAGCAAAGAAACAGTCGATTCACCGGATGTTAAGTGATAACCGCCACCCATAGACATTTGCCACACCCGTAGGGTTGCAAATGCGTTGCCACCTTTAAATAAAGTGGCCCCCGGCTACCTCACTCACCACACGAAACGCAGAAGTGTAACACTTATACTTTACGTTGATCTTCTGTGAGTTCGTGGTACTTATATTCCACCTGCCCATTCATGCAACAGTGAAAACTGTTGCGTGGCCGTACCAGAACAAGATTGTAGTTTGATTGATCTATTACACTATATTAAAGAAGGCGAAGGGAATGTGAAGATACTTACTCAGGAGTGTCTGCGAGAAATATTTGACGGTGTTCGCGATGTCGACGCCAGATGGCAGCGGCGGAATGTTGTGCATCAGACGCAGCTGGAAGTCGTAAAGACTCCGGATCTTCGCGGTGACTGTCGGGCGAATCGGGATTAACAGAGGGATATGTGGAGAAAAAACCGGCCAAGTGTTCCGTACCATTATCTACTTAAACGGCCGAAAATCATGTCTGTTGTATAGGAGCTCCACTTAAATATATTTTACTCTTTCTCTTTTTAGGGCTACGTACCCAAAGGGTAAAACGGGACCCTATTACTAAGACTCCACTGTCTGTCCGTCTGCAACCAGGCTATCTGTCTACTATCACGGTTCATGAGATACAGCCTGGTGACAGACAGACAGACGAGCGTTTCTCTCGAGCGTAAATCACTGCCTTTGCCTTACCACTGTGCTCAAGCGCGGCTAAACGAAGTTCTTCCAATTCACGAGCGCGGTTGGCATTTTGTTGCGTTTAGACGTGTTTGTGCACAGTGTAATTGACAGAGTTGTCAGATGCGACGGGACTAGTGTAGGAACAGCCTATAAATGTTCCACTGCTGGGCAAACTCGTCATCTGTACAGACGGTATTAGGATATAGTCCACCACGCGACCCCACTGCAATTTGCTGGACTTTACATAATTTTGAAATATCACTATGTTTTCCTTCACCGCTGAGCACGTGATGAATCAGCACTTAAAAAATTGCTGCCAGCACCGGGGATCGAGCTCAGGTTGCTCGAGTATATTGAATTAATAGAGGATGCCAGGACGGAGTAAGACAAGCAATTTCGATGAGTTTGTATGAGTAACTCATCAAGCTTGGCTTCCACAAAATATCTGAGCTTAAAGGTATGAGGGATCTTATGGGCGAATATCATATTACTGAGACAAACATGGTTACAGCAGCCAAATTGTAGTTGAAAGATGAGACTGTGACAGAATACGGGACAACTTCACGAGATCACACACGACCATCGCTTGCGCTCAATCGTTCACCGCGCTTCACCATGTGGATACGGCAATACCCGATATTAATTTCAATTATCTGGTTTGATTAATTTCTATTTTGTAACTGTTCAGAGGAACAAAATATTTTTGACTTATTGGAATATTCAATGATTTTGTATGGGTAATTTTAAATTTGTGATTAATGTACGAAGATAATTTATTCGTTACGTCATTAATATTATTTTTCATTTTTCAGGATATTTCCCTACATCAAATCTCAAATCATCAAATCGCTGCGCATCGCACGCACACAAACGTTAACAATATGTACATACATCAATACGTTTTTATCACAACCAAATGCTAACCGCGCTCGTCAACTACAAGAACTATACCAAGGATTACCATAGTGACTCGGGTAAAGTTAAAACTTATTTTTTACTATCCTGGCAATACAAACTCCTACTGCATTACCGCCGAAAAATATTTTGCACCCTTGTCTTTGTGAATGCAAGCATAATTACCTATTGTAATAAATAAAAGAATTCGACAAATCTTTAAAAATGAATGTTGAATGTCGAATGAATATTGAACAAGCGTGACTAGTGTCCTGCTCAAACTTGTCACTTGTCCCAAAAACATCGCAAAATGGACCTTAATAGCAAAGAGTACACATCCCATGAAAAGCTGTATGGACCGTCGTATCAGATTTCGTTAAGATTGACACCAAGCACATATTTTGTTAATCAACTAAAACAGTAGTTGGTTGGAAAGGCGTTTGAGTGCGTGACCCGGAGGACAGTTTCGAATCCCGCTGCGCTAGAAGTTTTTGTCTATTTATCTACAAAATAACACGTCTAATCTTCTCATCTACAAATGATTTATTATTAATATTTAAGTCTTAAAAAAACAGAGAATCATAAGAGTAAATAGTAGTAGTATAGTACTTACGTTTGTATTGATGTTAAACACTACCTAACATAAATACTAGGTAAATAAAGTAAAAATTATGAACTAACAAGTAAATTGCTTCATGTTATATTTGTTTAGATATCTGTAGAGTTCTTTACGAAGTGAATAATATCAAACTGAAGGCCGTATTAATTATTGCTTGTAATGTATTAATAATCTTACGAGTGAATTTTAGCATTTTTTTCCCCTATTTAATTAGAACCTAGACAAAACCTCAGGCACTGATTAACTTTAAATGATAAACAAAATAAACTCCATAATTATTAAACAAGCAGTAGTTAAATGGTAAAACAAGTTTTTTTGAGTGTTGTCTATAAGATAAACTTTCCATAAAATGGATATTTAAATCTTAACATTGTGTTTTTACCAAATAATTGTAAAAATATTTTATCTCTCTTTCAGTTCGATAAGACACCTTTAATAATCTTTGACGCGCTATTTTTTAACTGAATTAAGTGAATGTCATAAACTTACTTAATTTGTAATAGGTAGACAGCAAAAATGAAAGTCGTAAGAAAAGAAATAAAATTTTATTGTTCTAAAGTATAAAGATGCATGCAGCAGTAAATAAATTGAAAGACAGAAAAGCCAAAACAACTAAAGAACAAAATTGTCATTCAAACATCCAGTAAAAAGAAAAGCCAGCTAAAACAGTACATCCAGAAAAATACTATTAAGATATGATATACTACAATAAATAGAATATAATATATTGGTCTAAAACAGATTGCAAGAAGAAAATATAATAAAGGTAATGTTAATAAAATAAGTTTAATGTCTCTCTGGAACAGTAAAGACCACAAATGCAAATTGTAGTTATTGATACATTACAGAAAAACCAGAATTACAATTCATTGTAAGACCCTTAAACTTATTAACCATTATGGCGAAAGGTATAAGCAGATGTATTTACATAAATATATATAACCAGCCAAAATCCTAAAGAAAGGTGAGCGACGGAAGACACATTAATATGTAACTTTAAAAGTAAGTCTTAAAAATAAATTATTATAAAATTAATTGCTTGATTATTGTAATCATGGCTGATTACAGCAGCTATATTTTCACTTGTGTCTTTGGCTGCAAGGTTTAAATTGTTTTTAATAAATCTATTTTCAATTAATTGAAACTATTTGAATTTAACTAGATAAATGTAATTTTTTTAGATAAATGTTATTTACTTTAATAATAACAACAACAATAAAACAAAGATAGTTCCAGCTTAATTCCATTAATTTCCTTTGATTGATAAATGCTTGTTGAAATATTCAATGGAATTAATTGTTATGTATTCAAAGAGTGAATACCAAAAAAAATTTTACAGTATTTACTGTACAACTGCAGCATATTTGCAAAATATTTAAACATATGAAGTAGTACAAGATTGTTGCAATCCTACATAACATCAATAACAAACAGGGCGGGGCACACAGGAAATCATACAAAGAGATTCCGTGCAATAGTACACAACAATGCCAGGAGATAGATTCAATAAATAACAGTCTTCTACGTCATATTTACATATTTTAAATAGAATTTCAAGCTTTATATGTGCATAACAAAGAGCTTAAAAATTCCCCCAATATGAAAGATTTTCAATTTTATTTTAAATTAACAAAACTGCCCCAAGACTTTAATGTGTAAAGATTTATTGCACTTTTTACTAGAAGTATGCAACATTTATTTATAGTAGATGTGAAATAATAAACAACAGACTTGAGAGGCTTAAGAGTGGCTCAATGAAACATTTATTAGCTACACAAAACCTCACACAAATGGACAGTTCCGAGGGCACATGTAGCACTAACACAAAAGGGCGGAGATAACAGCAGTCTGATTCACAGACAAAGCATATGTGGGAGGAAACAGAGGTCTGTGCAACGGAGAGACAACAACACAGCCCGTCACAACGAGCTCACCTTTCTGGTTCAGCGGCTCCATAAGAAGCTGCATATCGAACTGCGTGGACTGCATTACACACACAAAAAGCTTTCACTAAGAATGAGGCCGGATTTGTAACAGGCCCAAACGATCCTCTGAAAAAGAAATGTGTTAAATGGGCATGCAAGCTTGCTTTAGTAAAGGGAAAGGTAGATCTTGTGAAAAAGTATTTAAAATGTCCTGTTGCTACCTAAAGTTAACAATACTTTCATGTAAAATATTAATAATAATGTAACTTTATAATAGTAAATTAAGATATGTCATGCGCGGGCAACTATTAATTTCAAACTTATTAATTACAATATATTCGCTAAAGATTAGAACAAAAGTAATCAGTTGAGTAAGTAACGTTTCGAAACAGAAAGAAATGGGAAACACCTACAGTATGGCAATCAGACAATAGTTTTCCTCGTAAACACATTTTTCACATTTAAATTTACAAGTTTTTTTTTAAATGCATCTAACTTTCCTTTATACTACAGCAGCGGCGTACTTAAGATAATTATTATGGCAATAAAGCGATGCCTAAACGTTGTACTGCTTACATGCCGCGGCCCGAGTACCCATATTTATCAGCTGTATCTTGAAACTGCCCTGCATTTGAATGTCCTTCGCTCGCTGTACTAAAACGGACGGGAACTCAATCGATAACATCAATATAGGTACAGGATAGAGCTAAAATCCCACACTACTGCCGACTGGGTGAAAGAGATGAGACCTAAATCTAGATTTTCTCGTCTCTTCGTACTATTGATCGAGAACGCGTTTGATTTCGGCGCGCGCAGCAGCCTCCTTGCTTCAAATATGTATGAAAATTGAAACGTAAACGTAGTGATTACATTCTCTTTGGTATGAAATAGGGAAAAGAACTCTATTTATATTTAAATAGGAGCGATAATTGGCACTTTTGAATTGTTTACTTTTAAAATCTGTCAAAACCCTCTGTCTGTGTTTTGACTTTTCGTCGGAAACCATTTATAAATGGTAGTACTTATTTTAATATGGTTAATCTTATTTTTGGTATACATTTTTAAAATATTATCTCTAAATTAATGAAACACAATAATAAATAAAATTCTATTTATTTTTTGGATTTGTCTTATTATAACAATCTAAATGCAAAAAAAAATTATTTGATTTAAATAAGTTATTATTAAACGTTTTTGCAACAAAATCCCATTTGCTAACATTGATTGTGAAAATTGCTTAGAATTTTCTGACATAGTCAAAATAATAAATAAACTGTAATAAACATTTTGGTGTTAGTACCCTCGTAGTGTTTTTATCTTAAATTTAAAAATTTGATAATTATTTTTTGTAATACTTTGTACATTCTTGATTTTTTTAAAGCCTATATTACAAGTACGCTTATAACTTCGTAGTGCCATAATTGCTTCTTTTCGTGAAACAGTCAAAAATCTACCCTCCAAATATTATAATCAAAAGTAACATTTTGGAATCTAAAACATATCTAAAATCCTATACACACCTTTATTTTTCTATTTACATTTATTTTTATACATTTGTAAAACAATATCACTTCAGAAAGTTTTAAGTTTGCAACCGTCCATCTAAGCGAGAGTAAATCTACTACAATTCTCGCACGCCATAGTTTATTGACTCACGTACAGTTGGCATTGAAAATAAATGGTCTCGGGCCATTATGTCATCAACGGTTGTCCACCGCTCCGGCGAGCGCTTGCTGTATTACGAGCTGTTGGGCGCTAATCAACTTTTTCAATTCCCTAACTTCCTGTGTTAACTGCCTGACGTTCTCCGACGTCTCATCTAGCTTCGCTTGAAGGGTGCCCAATCCAGAATATCCGTATTCTCTGTAACTAGAATCGTTATTGTTCTCATATTTCTTAAAGCAAGAGTAAGTTCCTGTGGTGGATCCATTAGATGATATAGTATGACCATACTGTTTCCTCATTTTTGCAATGTCATACGCAGCCATCATGATGTCCCTAGGCAATCTTTTCTCACTCGGATTTAACGGTTTCACGCTAAGAACCACTCTGTAGGCTTGTGGCGAAACCAATGCGGACGAATGGAGAATTTTAAGTAGGCACTTCGGTAAATATCCGTTGAATAATGCCAGTTCCATGTATGAGATTAATTTCGTTTGTCTTACTAACTTCGATAATCCAGCAGTTTTCCTTAATCCCTGTATGTCGTGAACCGCTATACCGACGAGTAGATTCATTAATACCACCGTAACAAACATAAGGAACAAGACGTATGTTATCTGTGCTGAAAACTCTAGCAACACTGGAGGATCGTTTCCGTCCGGTTCGTTCAACAACAAGTCCAAATTTAATTCGCCAATCATCATGGTCAATACGGTGATAAAGCCCATAAATGGGTTCGCAAAGGAAGAGGAATCGGGAAATATAACACAAAAGCTTATCGTGAAACCGATTAAAATGCAGGAGTAGGCCATTAGAAGTTTCGCGAATTCCTTTTGCACCTTTTGATACATGGCCACGTAGGTGCCGAACACCGGCAGCTGTCCAATCATCATCATTAGATTCGTCCAACCAGCAAGCACGGCGAATGCGCCCACGTGATTCTGCCAAGTGTATGTTATGTTTGTATAAATGTATGATATAAGAAATACGCTAACAATAACAAACCATTCTATTATGTTTTCGGATTGCATCAGATATTGTTTCACCGTGGAGTAGCCAGCTATACCGTAAACTTTTCTGAATATTTCGAATATCGTTATTCCTGCTAACACCCACCATTGCATCTCTATGACAAACGGGTTTTTTCTCAGCAAATCCCCTAGAATTGATTGCTTCTGACAAAGCTCTTGTTCCTGAATCGTTTCTTCCATATCCTTGCTCCCGTTATAACAATTATGAGCCAACGCTGTTAAAACGTAAAGAGTAAGGCATAAAACAAATATGAAGCTCAAAAATAATCGTGCCACATAGTATTTGCGAATTTTCTCCCATTTAATATAAAGGAATGCCGAGCATAATGGGTGTAGTAACACTTCCTTCTGACCTTCGTCAACAAATGTGTTAAGGTAGCTTATCTCCCGCGGGTAGCAATGCTGGAGTATGCTGCGGAAGTCAAGTTCTAGCTCTACTTCTCTGTTACTTGATTGTGAGTGGTGCAGCGTGATAGCACAATCTAGTTTTCTCGTTACCATAGCAAGGGAAGCCGGTGTTTTTCGAGCAATTACGTTAAGAGCTGAATTTCCCTTTTTCGATCTTGTCGTAACGTCTGCACCGTGATAAATTAATGTCTCCACGCAGGCAGAAAGCCCATCTAAGGCTGCTAGATGTAGTGGAGTGAAACCGTATTCATCTTTCTGGTTGACATTAGCGCCCCAGCTAATTAGGGTTTCAATAATATCACACGCACTGTCAGATTTTCCGATCGCAGCATGAAGGGGCGTCCTCATATCAAAATCCATGGAGTTCGGCTCAGCGTTGCCTTTGCGCAGTAATGACTCAACACACTCCAAACTAGCCGATCGTGCTGCCAAATGTAGAGCCGTAAAACCACGATGATTCTTCAAACTGGCGTCAGCGCCTTTCGACAGAAGCAGATCGACACAATCAGCAAAGCCGCCGTCAGCGGCTAAATGTAGCGCTGTTGACTCCCTGTCGCCTACTCGAGTTCTGACGTTAGGATCAGCGCCGGGCGTTTCCAAGAGGATTGCGAGACATTGTATCATACCCAGATCAGCGGCGAGGTGGATGGCATTCGTGCCGCCCGGCTCTATCTGATTAACATCGACCCCGTGGGATATAAACAACTTCAGGCACTCCACAGAATTCGCGCGCACAGCGCAATGGAGCAAGCCTCCTTCGCAATTGACATACTTGACGGCCGCGTGGACGGACGCCCCACGACTGATTAGTAAATTAGCCACTTGCACTGAATTCCCGAACGCGGCACAATGGAGCGGCACGAAGCAGCGCGGCATGTAATTGGGGTCCGCCCCACAAGAGAGCAGATAGTTGGCACATTCCGCGGAGCCGCTGAACGCCGCGGCGTGGAGCGGCGACAACCCTAGCGCGTCGAAGTACAAAATGTCCGCACCGGTCTCAATCAACGCGGGCAGCAGCTGGTCGAGCTTGAGGAAGGCCGCCCAGAACAAGCAAACGTTCCTCTCGGCCTCCGTGGCATTCAGGAAGACGTTCACCGCTCCATCGGTGGCGATGACACCCGATTCCAGCTCGTCGAGGAGTCGCAGTCTGCCGCCTACCGCTCGCATCTGCTCGTGCGCGCTCTGACGCAACGAGTCGCCGCATATGTGCGCAGTTAAGTCCAGGGGTGGCTCCTCGAAGCTGTCGTACATATTGGGCGCGCTCTCCGCTGGGGGGGAGGATCCGGCGAGCACGTACTCGAGGTGGCCCGTGGAGGGGAAGGCCCTTTCCAGCGACTCCTCGTCGGCGGGCTGCTGGGTTCGCGCTGGGGAGCTGAGGGCGCGGGCGATTCGCTTGCGGTCCATGTTCCCAGGCGGTGCATCGTCCGGCTCCTGGTGATTCTGGGCGCGGCGCGAGAGCAGCCAGCGCCGTGACAGGAGGCTGCGCGCTGTGGGCATGCGGGCGGTCGACGCGTCACTGAGCGACGCCACTATTGTCCGCCAATTGCGACGGGAAGACTGAATCGTGCGCACCTTTTTTTAAATAAAGCCACTCCCACACTAGCGACGGACGTTCGCACGTCTTATTGGATGTTAGATGTATCCGTAAATTCTTTATCATTTATTTTTCAGTTCTTTTTTTCTGTACACCGGATATAATGAAGAATTGCCATTTTCTAATAAAGCGGTATTTAAATCTGGCACATAATAATTATATACAGATTTATAAAGAAATAATTAATCTTACGTGACTTTAACATACGTGAATGTATTTTACCTTTGCAGTCTCTTAAATGTCTTTTTCATTAAAGTTCATTCTCAATTAAGCACTTGCAGTTTTAAACCGTCTCCGTTTACTTTTCCACCAAGTCTTGCGCAAACCTTAGGAAAAAAGTAATCAACGCCCGAACGGTACCCACGTATCGCTTGCATTTGTTTATATGTTTATTTGCGATGATATTCTTTATCTGCATTCTGTTCATCGAAAGATTTAGAAAAACTTAATCGTAAGTTCTTAATTATCATGACGGCAACAAATTCCTACAAGAAATTAATTTTTAAAAGGAAACCAAAATGTTTAACGATCAAAAATATTTTGTTATCCTTTTTTCAGTAGTAGTTCCTAGATGAATAACTATTCAAAATAAAATACTGTTCAAAGTCAAAATATTTCTTTAGGTATTTTATGTTTTGAACTCTTATCGAAACGTCAAAAGACTACGCCCGGTTCAAATTAATTGAAATTAGAACATTAGGTACAGAGAAAAACTGGCAAGAAACTGTTGTGTTGTCTTCTCTTTCTTTAACAAAATTAATTAGTTAGGTTGATTTCATCAGCAGCTGCCGGAGGACTTCAAATGCAGAACAAGAGTAATTTCCATGTATCGTTTTCCTCAATGTATTTTTCGCCATAGCTCGAGTTCTATGAATAAGAACGAATACGTTGGATATATATTACATTGCTTTAACGTGTAAAAAAATATCTAAAGGAGGAAGGAATGTGGCATGAAGGACATCAGTAAGAGACTATAGTAAAATGTGTAGCTGACACATGCTCCTTTCATTAGTATCTTGTATCTTGTATCAGCTGATGTTTTTGCTTTCAGTCCCGAGACTATTAAAGCTTCATCTGACGAAGAACCGATGGGCTAGCCAGAACCCACGGGTTTGGGCACTCCGCTGTGGGTGTCATTAGTATTGGCCTCAAAGACAAAAAGAGATTCTTCAGCTCGTTAAGCTTTCTTACTAAAAAGCGCTGGTTATACCTGATTTCCTTGTTAGTAGCTGTGCCACCTTTTCCCACAGTTCCCATAAAAAAATAACAATAACACTGTAAATCGGACAGACCACAAAACATATTCCGATTTGGGCAAACCCAATGACGTTAGAGACCTTATTATGATCTTGGGAAAATCTAGCATAAACAATTGAAAATACCAAGAAAGTTTCTCATAACAGCGGTCATTGTTTAAATACCGTTCGTTCATTGTTGATTACATTTAATTTTGTATGCGGAAAATTGTTCGTTTGTTCAATTTTGAGTTTGACATTCTCATGACAATTGTACAGTTTATATAGTTAAGCACAATGCCTTAAGAACCACGCAGCTTCGGGTATGCAAGGCCGCGCACAAATAATATATCTTGAGCCTTAATAAAGTAGTAGGTATCTGTAATACCTTTATGCTATATGTAAAATATATTGCACAGCAATCTCTACTGAAAATTTCATATGTTTAGTGGTCTTTATAATTCATTTTCATTTCCTATTATTGTACATTTTTCAGTTTCATAAACATATGTAAGGTCTCGATTTCACATATTATTATTGTCATATGTTTAGTGATAATTTATTATCACGCTCTCCGATATCTTTGATTCTTTTTGGTGTTAGGGATTCCTAGGAGTCTCACATAAATTTGTTAATGGTAGTCCACTAGTAAATTGTGAAACTCTTTACGATGAGTAGGGTTTTTCAAACGATTTTTTTATTTCTTTTCATTGAAATTGTATTATTTAATTTTTTAGTGCTAATTAAAAATAAAAAAGCATATTATATAACAAAAATAATGTGGTACAATACTTTGAGAAAAACAATGTATTCTACGACATTATATAGGCCCTTTCCATTATGGTAGCTTTTACAAAATGTTTAAAATTGCTTACACTTAGTTGTTTGTTAATGTCACCCATACCATTATAGAAGTTTTTTTAATGAAAATTGAAATGATAAACATTGATAATAAATATTTTTTATGTAAGGGCACAGTGCCTAAGAAATACAAATTACAAGAATTAATAGAAATCTATCCAGTAGCAGTAGTTTTAACATGATGCGCACACAACGGTAACATTTTATTTATTACAGAGTGTTTTGCAATTGTCGCAGACGTATTCTGTTTATAACACTTTTTTTTATTTTTTTTGAAAAAAAAAAATCTGGTACTAATAAATATTTTTTTTATTTTTAAATTCTGGTTCTAATAAATAATTACTTAATATACAACAGAGAATAATTCAATTTCTTGTTTGATCTTATCTTAACGTAATAAATCCCTTAATATTGTGATGTAAATAAACGATTTCTGTTAACAATTGGTTCCTCCCAATCGGCTTAACATATGCGTTAAGCCGATTGGGAGGAACCACGTTTAAATGTGTAACATAATGAAACTGCAATATCCGTAGCCAGTGGACCGGTGAGCCAACTGATTCGGGATGCTCCACCCAAGGTCGTGGGAGCACCACACAATGGCTTGCTCCACATAGCAAAAGCAGGTGGCACTGATTTTGCGCACCCGTATAAGCAACCTTTCATTCACGTACTCTGCTGTGAATCTATAGATTTCTGCATATCAAAAGAGTAGATTTCGACTTTTTTTAAAGATTAATCTTGACAATTTCTAATGGCTATTTTACTGAATTCATAAAACTGTACAGTTGTTACCAAAGTAATAAAAATAAATTAGCTTGTGGCTAGAGCTTGGTAGAGAGGTTCGAATCCAGCAGCGGTTCTTTTTATCTTTAGTTCTAGGTTAGGTTAGTTTTATCTCTCCAGCGTTGTTTAAATTTTAACGGTAAATTTAAATGTGACAAGGCATTAGCGAATTGGGGTTTGTTCATTTTCGTTAAAATATTCTATGCATTTAACTAACTTATATAGTACGACGACATCAGACTTTACCCTGTTACAGAACTCGAACTACTTTTCTTGCCGTAACGGAGTATTGTTAACAGGAAAAATTAATTGCACGGTTCCGGTATACAGAGTTTGTTCATACGAGTACCATGTTTAGTATTTTTGTAAATGTACAAAAAAGGAAGTGTACTAAGTTGCACGATATATCTTTTTTTTACACGGAAAATACTTAATGTGCGCGAAGAAAAAAGGCACAATTCGAAATTGATTCACTTTAGAATTGAGAAAAGTGCACCTTGGACCTTGTAGACCATACCATACATTTATGCGCACATCTCATTTTGCGTTTACGCTAGCTTTTACTCAGAGGCGTGCTCAGATTTCAAAATGGGTATGTACTAAAGAAACTTACTAATTTCTCTGCTTTATGATAACATAACAGCCACTTAAATGATATCCAAAGTGACTTTAAGAATTTGTTTTCTTGGAATAAAAAAAAAATTATAACTCATGGGTTACAGTGTTTTGGGGCATATTTGTATTTGACGACAGGGTATCCAAAGTTTTTTGTAAGTTTAACCGTGGTAGAAACACAGTTAAACTGTGCAGGTCCGTCCGGGTAAGTATCACGACCGTCGTAAAGTAGAAGTGTTACACTTAAGAAAAAGTTTTTAAGTTAAGTTAGAAAAAAACGGTCCTCTCTGTTGCTCGAATGGGCAGGTCCGTCCGTTTTACTTCTGCGTTTCGTCCGGTTAGTGAGGTAGCCGGGGCCCACTTAATTAAAAGGTGGCAAGGGAAAGGTGTAAATAGACGAATTGGCGTAGGATTAACGAATGGATATAACAAATTTCAAAAGGTTGTCAACGCATCTGTAACCCTCGGGTGTAGCAGATGTCCATGGGTGGCGGTATTCACTTACCATCAGGTGAACCGTCTGCTCGTTTGGCAAACTTTTCACAAAAAAAAAAAAAAAAAAAAATGTGCCGTATTCACTTAGTCCGATAAGTTCCACTGCGTCCGTCGTCCGAGTTGTCCCGTGGGCTACGAACGCCGGCCGAGACGTAAACTAGCTGATCAAAGCGGACGATTAAGGAAATGTCCAATTAGGCGACTCAAAGATAATAATCAGTGCCAACACGCTTTAAGACAGGATACAATTAGCTCGAAGGGGCGATACGCTATCGACTCGTTAGGCGTGTAAAATGTGGTAGGTAAATTTTACAACAGGTACATTTATAATTTTATTGTTTTAATAATCTAACAAATTAACAATAAATCATCTGTTTGTTTATAATCCAATGATAGAAGCCAATTTTTATTTTTTGATTTACGTATAAATATATATTTACAACACCATTTTTATGTAAAGGGTTTAGTAATTTTTTTTAAATTAAATAACTTTGTATTCCTTTGAACTTTAATGAAAATGATTTGGTTTTAAAATATCTATATATGCTTGAAGAGACATAAACAAAAATTAATATAACCTATGAACGCTGTAAAGGGTTCGAAACGTCGGGAATTAAAATTAAAAATAAACGCGATAAATCCGTAAAATTAGTTTCATTTAATATAACCTGTTCATCACATTTTGTGCTGCTTTTCACAGCCGTAAGAACAGTGTTGTTTTTGTCATCTAAAAATTTTTGTTATTATAACTTAAGGGGAAAATTTAGGTATTACTGTTGTGGGGGCTTAACTGTGGCGGGGACTTAACTGTGGCGGGGACTTAACTGTGGTGGGGGCTTAAGGCTTAACTGTGGTGGGGGCTTAAGGCTTAACTGTGGTGTGGGCTTAAGGCTTAACTGTGGTGGGGGCTTTTACCGTGGCGGGGGCTTCACTGTGTTGGGGTAGGACGTATTATACTTTCACATTTTGTCTGGTGAGTGAGATAACCGGGGCCACATTTTTGGTTGTTATGGGTAGCGGTATATGTTAACAGACCATTAGGTGAACGGTCTGCTCACTTGACAATTTTTCACAAAAAGAAATTATGCTATTTACATGACGTATCATGAAATTCAAAGATCGGGAAACGCATAATATACTCAGTTTCACTCATCTTTGATTGTGGAGAATTTGGTATGAGTTGTATAAAACTGTGAAGAATTATTATGTTATTTCGAGTTTATATTTCTCTTTCTAAAAGTACCATAAGGCTATTAAAATAAAATACGTAATATATATTGAAATAAAACGTTACATTCGTAATATTTATTTATTGATATACAGGCCGCAGCTATTACCATAGACAATGTACAGGTTGTTCAAAATTAACATAATTACAACGAAGATATAATCATAATTTGCTTTATTATTACGACAATGATTAATAATTGAGAACACGAATTATTAATACGTTACAAAAACACCATGTTAGGGCGAAGTTAGACCGAGTTACATACATTTATCATACAAAAACCGATGGACAGGAAACTTTCCTGCATTCCCGCCACTTAAACTAAACGTAACAACTATTAAAGCTAACATAACACACGATATAACATAAATTAGAAGTTATTTACAAAATTATACAGATAATAAAGAAAAACTTATGTCGCGCCGCGAGTTGAAGCATCTCTTTAGCCTAGTGGATGACGACGGTAGTGGGTTCAAATGGACATTGGAAGGTTGTCAGTGGGTCAGCATCGAGGAGACTACGGCATGGCACAATACGAGGGGAATCTAACGTAGCGGCGACGATGGGGGGGGGACGCGAACGAGGAGGGGGAGCGGTGCCGTTGAAAAGCGTGCAGCGATGGACTCAGAGCGGGCTGAGCGCACAGACGTTTCTGCGACGGCGGGTCAGACGCGGGAGCAGCTGGCAGCGGCTTGCTCAGACGCAGGAGTACTTGGAGCCGTCGTCGGCCGAGAAGCAGTGGTGGCAGTGCAGCGCGGCGTTGCGCACGCGCACGTCGGCGCCGTTGCGCCCGTCGCCCAGCCGCGCGCCGCACACGGCGCACGCGAAGCACCACACGTGGTAGCACAGCGCCAGCGACTCGATTATCATCGCCGCGCCGCGACCTGCCGCAACACGCGCCATTAGCTCGGCCACAACTTCACGTTGCCAACTCAATCAATTATTAACGTTTTTGCTTCAACGCCTGGCTCTCCGTGTTTATTGATTTCCGCGCCATCTATTAGTGTTTTTATTTAGGTTCAAAGAATCATCATTATTATCCTTCTGCCGTTATCCCACCTAGGTGAAGTCGGCACTACATATAATTCATGTTGTAAATAGTTTTAACTATGTTCGACCGCCTACCTGACGTCAACCTTCCTTGGGACACAAAAACCCAGATCAGAAACAATTAACTGTCAATTAACACTACTTGTCCCGTTTACAAATACAACCCTCGATGCCGGGGTTAGCGCAACTGACTCTTTGAAGAATGCCAGCGTCATCAATGACAACTTTACTATAATTCGCAGCTTTCGGTATTTATTGACTTGTGCGCCATCTATTGGTGTTTTTAGTCAGCAGGTATAACAAAGCCTTAATGAATATATTATAGTCCACTTATTTGAACCGATTTGAAAAATTCCTTTTCGCTTTAACTCCGATGTGTTTCCATACTAATTTCATTGGTATTGCACCTTGGACTCCGGAGATAATGAAGGAAACTCAAAATCAAATACAGAATGAGGTATTTGCTGTCGTTTTTTTTCCCTAAAATGATTTACTTCTACGTATAGTGCTTGCATCTCTCTGAACAGTCTTCGTTTTGCACGAATGGGTAGGTCCATCCGGGTAAACATTGAACAGTAAACATTTCGCCTGGCGAGTGAGGAGTCGGGGCCGCTTCACTTCAAGGTGGCGGCGGGCGTCGCCAATGGATAAGAACGCACTCACCCAGCTCCTCGCCGCAGTGCGAGCACTTGCGCCTGCCGCTAACGCTGAGCGGCTGCCTCTCGTCGCGTCGCTCTCTCGGCGACTGCTGTTGGCTGAACGCGTCAATCGTTGCCCGGTTAGTTCCGCCGTGGCTCTACTGCGTCGATACTGCTTTTCGATCTTATTACTAGCCGAGGCGTATATCTACGTATTAACCTATTTTTTTCGTCGAAAGTAACCAACGAACCAGAGTTCGGTCAATACAGCTTTTAATCTCAAACGTTAGTTTATCCCTCCAGTTTTCGACTGGACGTTTTCATGAGAAGCGGATCAAATTGTCGCTAAGTATTCGAAACACCGGAATTTTTGTCGTCGCAAATCGTTCTCATCTAAATATTAATATAACTATAATTAATTGATTTTATTAAATGAATAAACGATGAATGTATTATTCAGAAGTACTTAACACTGTAATAAATTCACTATCCTAAAAATTAGACCTCAGTGTTGAAAAGCTTATGATCCAACTGTCTTAGGAGTGCAAGATTAAAAACCAGGAAAATGCTACGTAGTACCGAACCAAACATGAAATTTGATTATTATTTACCATAATATATGATATTATAATGTTTTAAGTATCAATAGCGTGCGAATGAAGCATATAATAGACATGTTTATGTGTGGCGAGCTAAATTACATGAGATTTCTAGTATAACGGAATGCTCACGCTCATATTATGCCGAAAAATCTTCGATGCCGTTAGGACTTTTAGACTTTTTTCCGGAACTGGAGGTCTATAAAGTATCAGAAAGTATCAGGTCCATTAATCTACGTATAGCACCTTTGCCATGGACAGTAAATTTTTACTGAATTAATTAAATTCGTATTATGCATACTGTAAAATTGTTTAGTAAAATAAAAAAAACTAAATTATAAAACAGCATCATCTATATTAAGTGAACAGAATTATTTCGTGACACATTTATCTGCTGTTGCTAGTATCCGATGGATGCCACTAGATGTCGCTTTTATTAGATTCCTCACCTGGCGGCGACGTGTTGGGGGCGGTGGGACGGCGTTTGGGACTCGTGGTAAGAGTGACGCTGATTCGCGCGTATCTTGTTCTTGTGCTCCTCTATGCGACGATGTTCCGCCTCCTGTAACAATATACATTTAACAACAAACAACATAACGGCTTCATGACCCAGTGTCTTGGCCTCCAATATGAAAAAAACCTACGATTGTCTTGTTTTGGCGCCATTTTTCGCAATTGTCGGGCAGTATTGTCGTATATTTGGGCGTACAATACAACATTACAACACAATCTTCACCAATTCTCCAGACGTGGGCCATAATATATATTTAGATATATTAAATTTGTAGACGTGTTTTCTTTATTTTATATATTCACCAAACGAAACATACTAGCTGCGATAGTTAACTATAATCAAATTATGAATTTATTTAACTGTGGTTGGGCCATGTTACAGTCTTCGCTGTTGCAGACCGGCGTAAAGTGAAAGTATTACACTTCTGTGTTTCGTCTGGTGAGTGAGGTAACCGAAGCCCACTTTATTAAAAGCCTATAATAATAAGCAAATGGGCGGCGGTTATCACTTAACATAATGAACCTTCAGCGTTTCAAGAAACAAAATAATGTCTACCAGAAACATTTAGGTTCAGAGACCACTTAAATGGTCTGTCTAATCGTGATATCAGGAATCGAAATAATTTTTCAGTGTTGGTTTGGGTTCCATTTAAAATTTGAAAAACTGTATACCCTCTGTGTTAGCTATTTACGATTTGATTGTTTTAACTGTTTACGCTTTGAACAGACCGGGAATATTCGAAAAACCTTATTCCATTCACAACATTGACCTCGTATAAGAACAAAAAGCAGACCTGGATAAGCCAGTGTTGGTGGTAGTTGTAGTTGGCGGGTTTCCTGTTTCGCGCCTGCATCCAGTCCGCGCTCGAGATCAGCTTTGGCGTGGGCGCCGCGCTCAGCGCCTGAAAATCGTGTTCATTCCCAATTGCACAAGCGCCGTGATAGCCCAGTGTCCGGGCGCTCGCCTTTAATTCAATATACTCGAGCGACCTGAGCTCGATCCCCGGTGCCGGCACCAATGAAGTTTTTAACTTTAAGTGCTGACTTTGGAGGAAGAAGGACGGGAAGGAAGACATTGTGAAGAAACCTCCAAATTTTGGAAGTAAAAACAAAATAAATGTTTCGAAGATATGTGAAGTCCGCCAATACGCAGTGGGGCCGCGTTAGCCGGTAGACTATGCCCTGTTTCCCTCTATACAGATGAGGCCTATGCCCAGCAGTGGGACATATATAGGCTGTTACTTTTATCCAATGCAAGGTGTTACAAAATCCCTAGGGAGGTGATTACCTTCAGATGTAACTGGGCAACGCGGCAGTTTCTGCTGTTGCACCAAGGGCAGGTTCCTCCGGGGGAACACCACGTCAGTGAAGTGGAAGTTTTCATTAGACTTTCACGCTCCGACGATTGAGGTTATCGGCTCCGCGTTTTTGAAGGTTGGCCAACGCTTTTGCCTAGAATCGGCTGGTTTTTTGTATGGGAGAAAGTCGCAATCGAGCTAGAGGTTCACCTGATGTTAAGTGTTAATCGCCGCCGATGGACATTAGTTGCCATCTTTGAATAAAATGGCCTCCGGCTACCTCGCTTACCAGACGAAACGCAGAAGTGTAACACCTCTACTTCGCGCCGGTCTTCTGAGAGGTCGCGGTACTAACCCGGACGGACCTGCCCATTCGTGCAACAGCGAGCACTGTTGCATGGCCCTACCACAGTTAGGTAATCACCAAACATCAGGTAAACCGCCTGTTCGTTAGTAAAGTTTCCACGTAAACTTCTTGTCAGTCTCCAACTGGTGTTTGCTAGTTCTCACCTGCAGCGTGTGCCTCGTCATGGGGTGGTACTGTCCAGGGTTCCCGTTGGCCTGCTTCTGGCGTAGCTGGACGCCGCGCTCCACGTTGACGTACTCCACGCCCGAAGGCACCCTGCTGCTCCTGAGCATGAAGCAAAGGCACATTCGACCTGGTCTTGTCCTTTTTTATGTGTGAAAAGTTGCCAAGCGAACAGACGGTTCACCCGATGTTGAGTGAATACCGCCGCCCTTGGACATCTGCTACACCCGAGAGTTCCAGATGCGTTGACAACCTTTTGGAAATTGCGCTCCGGCCACCTCAGTCACCAGACGAAACGCGAAAATATTATACTTCCACTTTACGCCGGTCTTCTGTGAGGTCGTGGTGCATACCCGGACGAGCCAGCCCATACCACCGTACAATGGCACATTCGACCTGGTCATGTCTCTTTCTGTAGCCTAACCCTCGATGGTAATCTATCAGAAGGACTGAGTTATGGGCGCTGTAACCAGGTTTTTATATTTAACAGGTTTTAATAATAAATTTACGGACAATTCATTTAGTAAACTCGCGTTTGATTTTCACCTCGAGTAATTTTCTTGTCGTATGACGGTGAATCCATATTACTATTTACTCATCATGATAAGAGACAAAAATCTAACTTTAGGGTTTTGGCTTGTATCAATTTCCAATACACATCACAGGCTACCGTTTAGACGCTTCCACATTTTGAACGAAATTTTGTAAGTAATTGATTTTATTAATACTACTTACCTTACGCCGTCGTAATTTTGTAAAATTAAATAGTATCGTGCCGACAAGGGAAAATATTTGTATATATCAAGCATATAGTAGGTTAAGTAGTTTTTCTTAAATTTGCAAATTACCAAACATTTTGAAAAAATAAATGTAAATACTAAACTTATAGGTAAAAATAAATTATAATACCAATTACGATGAATATTTATATCACGGATTTTTACAATTCAGGTCTGCATAATCAAGTTATTTCTGTCCACCCTACATGGTAAAGAGATGAGAGCTTGAACATTTAAAGAGCCTTAATATTTACAGCGGCCTTATTCAACAGACTCCTCAACGATCATTGATATCGTGTATAGTAAAATTCTTATATAAAATTATTCGAATATAAAAAGCGGAATTAACTTTCTCCCATTCGTCGACTGATGTTTGTGCAAGATGTTTTATCTTTACATTAACAGATCCGCGTGACGTGCAAAGATATGGGCGATAAGATGTATGCAAAATATCTAAAGATTTCAACAGGCGGTTGTTGATATATGCCTATCGATATTAGATTGATTGACCATAAACATAATCCTGTGTACTCGTAGAAGGAATGTTTTACAAAGTTAAATACGTGGAGAAACACCCAGATCCGAACTCTACATGTATACAGTACAAAGTTTGCATCAGATAGTACTCTAACGCTCGGATTCTGGAACATTGATCATGGTAGAAATTGACTAATCAGCTGTCAAATGGATTTTGAAATGTCATTTGAGTTGCCAAAAGGATGGTTAAACTTTGACTTCTACGACGATCAGTGTTTCAGAGACCGGGCGTAAATTCGGGAGGGAGGTCCTAACCGCAACCATATCCGGTTCTCACCTCATCGGGATGTCGCGTCTGGGGAGTTCGGGGGCGCGGGGCCGGGGCGGGGGAGGGGGAGCGGGGGCGGCCGCCAGACGGGCCTCTCGCTCGCACAGCAGCCGCCTGCTCTCCTCCACGCCGAAGTGGCTGCGTATGTGCTCCTCTGAGACGAAGGGCTTCCGTTTGGAGATGTCCTGACGGCGGACTGAGGGTACGGGGGCGCCCCCCTCGGCGATTAGCAGGTTCGGCATCGAGTGCCTGTAGCTCTGGCCCTTCCGGACCCTGACGCTTTTCTCGGCTACGTTCGATATGTCCTGCGTGGACTTCTGGATTATCCTGCTCTGGTCTCTAAGGAGGTTCTCCCTCTGCCGCCTCAGCTCTTCCTGCTCCAGCTGGAGCAGTTCCCTCTCGAAGCGCAGCACCTCCTATCGGTGGGCTGCTTATTAGTGGGTCACCTTCGAGGGTTGCGCTCGGACCTTAGATTTAGTAGCAACAGAACTCGCGTGCGAGTAGCAAGCGTGACGGATACGGAATGGAGATTCGACAAGTTTCGGTTAGTGATCGATATGGATGTCGTTTTATTCGATGGTTTCATTGTTAGTTTAGTTAGGCTGTGAGCAACCGAAAGTTGTGTACCTCCCGACTGGGAATTTATGTTTAGTGTAGAATGTGAGTCACCTTTGTATGAGCATCGTCAAAGAGCCCGTCGGGCCAATCCTCGTTAGTGCGAGCCTGCAAAGTTACGCCACAGCGGACATCTTGTTTAATGTTATTTACACACAAAATGGTGGAAGATGACAGAGGATGAATTGTAAAAACAAAATATTAATTCTTATAAGTGTAGATAAAGCGTTATGTTACGAGAATCTATGTTTAATACAATTGGCTAGGATAAATAATAAAAAGCTAAAATGGTTATTTAGGAATATTGCGATCAAGCCTAATCGTTAAGATAAAAGAACTACTATATAGCCATGCAAAATTCATCAAGTACAGAAAATACTAGCGTAGGAAGAAATAAAAGGCAAAGTGTACTGCGATATAAATAATTTTATTAACTTGTGCATATCAAATAAAACAATACAATAGTCGCTAACCAAAACTACTCAATCAATAAATAAATTGAAGTAGTCAGTTTTTCAACTTAAACTATCAGTTTTGAATGATTTATTATGACAGTTCCAAAGGATATAATAGCATTAAAAAGCTGTGCATTGTTAATATAGCTGCATAAGAATATAAACTATACAAAATACCAAACGACTTTGCCGAAACCATGCCAGACGATGGGATTTGTTAAAAGCAATGAAAGGCAAAAAAAATAATTAATTTCGTATTACCAAATCTAACTGGCTGTACGGAAATCATTGCTTTTAACAAAATCATCGTCCTCTTAATCAATAGACAGGAAACAAACATTTCCAACACCATACAAAATTTACATTATGCCCTTTATTACACAATATAATAACAAATCGAGAATTGCATGAATTGCAGTATACAACCCAGTTGAATAACTGAAGGCTTCCATTCATTATTTAGAAACGAGCTAGCTAAAAACAATCAAAAAATATACTGAATAACATTTTCCTTTATCTCTAAATTAAATAATCATCTACCCATAAAGTATTCTTTTATAATTATTTCACAATTTTCTTCAAATCTATCTAAGAAATAACATGAATAATCTTAAAATAGCAAAAACAATAATAGTTTGAATATTGGTTCATCTATTTTAGATGAGAATATTATAATCTCTTATCACTAACACTTAATCAAGCTAACTAAAACTTCTACTACCTAAACTAACTAACGAAATCTTCTTAACAATATTACTGAGCGCATTTCACCAGTGAAATGGACTCAAGAAGCGTCGTTAATGATATTTGGGTATTCTACAAACACTAAAGAAAAGAGGACCTATATATACACCTTGTGGCAACTATCGAAATTAGCTTCGGTTTATTTTAGTCAGTTCTCACCTGCTGACGTTGTAGTTTTTTATCCAAACTATCGATCTTAGTTTGATCGTTTTCAGACGTGGTCAACGAATTGAGTTTTGTAGTCAAGTCATCTGTGAATTGATTGTTGTTTTTCTTAGCGATCTCTTCCTCGTCCGATGTAACTGTCACATGGGTATAGGGCTGTAATAAAAGTGCTCAGTTAATAACTTATCGGCGAATTAATTAATGTTTTGAGTGAAGTTTCTTGTGAATGTAAATACGTTAAACAAAAATATAAAGATCACAGGTAAAGGATCTATGGCTCTATGGTCCCGGATTCAAATCTCAGCGGCGAAAACTAGTCACTTTATATTTTTCAAGCCTACACGTTAAGATTTTCATAGAAAAATTTCTGAAAACTAGTCTAGGTACAATAAATTAATGACATTGACGATACGATACCTCGCTATTCTGTCTGCTGTGTGGATTGGAGGTTTCCGGTGACGATTGACCCTTGTACCAGGCCTCGGCCGATGGGCCTCTGTCCACGTCTACCCCAGAATCTCTACTGTCTCTTAGCTTCGCGTCCATGTCGTGCGAGAGCGTCTTCTTGTACAGAAGCTTCTCGATCTTTGTCTCCTCCTGAAGGAAGGACGTGATGTCCGGGCGTGGAGCTAATGTCAGGTCCACGTCCAAATAGCTATCGTCAACTTGGCCCTCGATACCGAGGAAAGAAGTGCGTTTGTTGCGTATCTCCTTCTTTATGCGGCGAGCTGAGCTAGTGTGCTTAAAGTTACCCTGAAATATGCATGTATTGTTTATGTACTCTGTACTACAGCAATACGTAGTGAAGATATCGATACCATTTTAACGGTAGGTGGATAAAGACCACGTCTATTCACCTTATGGTGACATTTGGAACATTCGTCGTAAGAAAAGCAACAGCATATATATTTCAAAAATTACACCGTTACAGTATTACACAGTAAGACTGTTTACAAACAGTTAATAATTGATTCCAAATTAAAGAACAAGCATAAAAAAGACGACTTTGCAAAATTTACGATGTTAAAAGATGATAAATATTAAAAACTACATACTTAGTCAAAAGTCATTATATGCCCAGATATGGACATGGGTGTAAATCAGTTAGTGGGCGGAAACATAGAGATATAGAAAAACTAATTTACGCCATACGTTATCATTTCACAACCCACGTGAATACGTGAACAATTATCCGATCAATCATTTGATAAGCCGTTCCATTTATAGTTACCAAGTTATCGATTACTTTAGTAAATAAGTTTCGTAACTAGTATTACTAATTGTACTAGTAATTTTGAAGGTGAAGGTTTGTTAAATATAAGTACTATTAGTTTCATTCTTATGTCCACTTCCAGTTCAGATAAATAAATACTGTTGTAAAAAAAAAATACAGCTAGATCTGTTATTGTCGAGTGCGACGATGTTGAGATTACACCAATGTTTTAAAAGTACTTACGTTTCCAAGAAGCTCGTCTTCCACCACATCATCAGTTGGTGGTGGAGGGGGTTTCTCTTTGGGAGGCTCCATCACGTTAGTGGGCATATCCAGAGGAAACGCTCCCGCGTCTTCTACCGTATTCTGATAGAACAAGTCTATGCTCTCGTACAGCGGTGCGACCGACACCTTGTTGTCGAAATCGAAATCGATTAGGCCTTTATCGGGTTTGACAGTGCCCTCGCTGTCTTCTACTTTCAGTTCCTCCTCCATTTTGCTGTTATCCGCCGAGCTATCTTCCGAGTCCAGCTCTTTGAACGCCAGCTCTAAAGCATCGATCACCTGAAGGTTTATTTAGTAAAATTTAAGAAGTGTTCACAAAATTTCAAACAAATCAACAGTCATGAAGGTTTTAGGGGAAAAAAAGCTAAAACGAAACGTTTATTAAACTTAACAAAGGGAAATATTCTTAGTAATTGACAAAAACGGAAAAGACAATAAGGAAATAAATTGAAATTAGTAAAGCGAGACAATCGTATAAAATTAAAAGATCAAAGATAAACATTTGTTATAAATGTTAAGAGTGAATAAGCGGCAAACAATGTTAGAACATAAAGCTGCGAAGGTGAAATGTTAGAACAAGCATAGCACCACAAAAGTTGTCTTACCTCATGTTAACCCATCACCGAAAGCTGATGTAACGGATCCGTATGAAAAGGGAACCCTTCGTATGGAAACAATTCGATTTATGAGAACATTTTTCGTGAGAGGCGTTTACAACAGACACTCCGAGCCTACTAACTCACAATCACAAGATATGGCCTTGTGTGATTAAGATATGCGCTTCATAGATAACATTGCTTTTATCACAGCCTATAAAATAGTTTACTCCGACGCTCCTGCGATTCGGTATGATCTCAACTATTATAATGGAACTACGTTTAAAGGACGACGAACGCATACATAAATAAAACCCAAACGTAAAAGTGCAACATATATTTTCGATATTAAGATTTTACAAATATCACGTTTTAGAACATTTCTACTGGATGTAAAATGAGACTAAATATGTGGTGTTCAATACTTTCATACGCCGGTATCAAAAGCTACATTACAAACCCTGTATTGTACGCTACATCTATCGATTATTATTATTATTATTTTTTAATTAAGGTCGATTTGTGTTAACTTCTTGTGATTAATTTGATTTAAGCACAACGAATTAATATGTGAAAAGGTAAACTAGACGTCATCTAAGTAATGATTTATTTATTGTTACATGATATAATGAATGTGTTACTAGTGACATAGGTGTCCTTAAAATAACGCGATCAATAGTCGGAAGACTGGAAAAACGTTTCGACAAAATCAAGAGATCATAAAAGTTCTAGAAAAGCTATTGCCCATAACGTTCTTTCTCATCTTTCTTGCGTTACGCAATTATGAGAGGAAGTATAGGAAATGTCTTATCGGGCGTTATAGTAGGCATTGTTTATGCACTACCACCTTTCTCAAGACTGGTGTTGCTTGTAGTCTTGACGTGAGTTTTGTTGTTAATGAACAGAATGGTTTTTCTTCTGTTCGGTTCTAAGCAACATTTGGTCCTTTTCTCCCAGAACGGATTCGAGTCCTGAGTGCTACTTACCGTTCTATTCAAATCATGGTTAGTATCTCGCTGTTCGCTTTGCGTTTTTCCAACGTCAACCTGATTACACGAATGGATCTGAGGAATTGGTTTACACACATCGTCGCGAACTGAGTTCTGATGAATGGGTGATGTTACATCAGCTACATTAACACTAAGCGTTTTATTGTTATCGTTAAATAGTTTTAGCGTCTTAATGGAATTCTTTGGTGAAATGTTAGTAGTAGTTGTAATATTAGAAACAGTTACCATTGGCATGCCTTTGCAGTTAGTAGAGTCGTTAGTTTGGCTAGTTTCATTAAGTTTAACGTTATTCCCGGCACCAGTATTATTAAGATTGTTGCAGATTTCATTTAAGTTTAGATGTATAGTCATCTTTCCCTGAAAGACTACCGTATCACCCTCTGATGCAGTCGACACAGGTTCATTTAAACTTACACTGGAGTCTTGATTGTCCAAACTTTTTAAAGTGTCTTCATCGTCTTTGTCCATTTGAATTTCTGTCACGTCTTCGGTAACACTTAATTCTTCTTGTTGCGACATTGCTTGAACATAATTGCCCCCACTGTCGGTATCTTCAGCTTTACTTTCTTGTTCCTCAATTTCCTCAACTATAACATCACCTATTACAGTTTGAATGGGCTCAGTGTTGCTATCGATCACTTCTTCGATTTTCATCGGTTCAGAAGCAATCATATTATCTTCATTAGAGGACTCATATTCGGAAACTTCAGCCATAGGTTCTCCAATAGGAGAAGCTACTTGAGTTAAATCTGCAATGTCATCGGGCGGCGCACACGAGTCCCTGGCAGTATGAATACCGCTATCTTCTGTTTCAATATCACTTGTAACAGTGTTGTTTTGCATCTCCGCGCAATCGAAGTCCTCCAAACTTTGCACCCTTTCAAACGAATTCGGTGAAGATTGACCATTTATGTCCAAACTGTCGAGCGAACGACAGAAGCTTTGCATTTGGTGCTCTATGCCAGAAAGACTTGACTTTAAGGAACAATCCGACGTTTTGTCTTTTAAATCATCGCAAAGTTTAAGATCACATTTTTCATTACTGGCGATCTCCTCTTCCACAGATATTTTAGGAATATCTTTATTCTTTGCTGCATCTAGACACGATAAACGCTCTTTTAAGCTCATGGAAACTTCTTTGACATCAGTTTTTGTCAATTTTACGTCTTCTTCCGAAGTTTGTGATTTAAGAATAGACAAGCGCTCTTTGAGGGACCTTGTATTATTTAAATCACCATTAGACAATCTTTTATACTTTTCTGGCTCTGTACATTTTATCTTTTCTAGAGACGATAATCGTTCTTTTAATGGCTTGACTTCCGAAGGAAGTTTAGACAAGTCAGTGGTTGATTTTTGTACATTAATTTCTTCTGTAAACTTTTCCAAGCTTGACAGCCTATCTTTAATAGACTTTTTATTATTAATTTCAGGTAATTTTGGCTTGTTCAATTGTATTTCTTGAGAATTTTCTCGCTCAAATTGCTCCCGTCTCTGATTTATGTTAACTTTAGGCAAGTCTCTCTTTTGGTTATTATTTTTTATATCAATCGTCCGTTCTTGTTGGAGGGAAGAGACCTTCTCCTCGATCTTGTTGCTGACGGATGTTCTGATTCGGTTAATATCACCGTTTGATTTATCAGGAGACTTCTCCTTAAAGTTATTGTTGACCACTGTCTTTACAATGTTGCTGTTTGTTTGCGAAATTATCCTGGACTTGTAGCCCTCGATGGCACCTTCGTAAGTATATTCCTCGGGCTCAGGAGAGCTGATCGTTGTGGTCGTGCAAGTGTCGTATTCGTTTGCACTGGAGCCGAACTTGCGATTGTTACCGCAATTGGACATGTTATCGACATCAGAGTGATTTTTATCGAGGTCCATGCCATCACTCTGAAAAGATAAAGTTTATATGTGAACATTATTAGCCGAAACTTATTAAAAAGATTCCAAAACTTCAACAATACAAGTATAAAGAGATCAGGTCTCAGTGCTACACAAGAGTTTGACAATTGTACTAACAAAGCAAATACGTAAATATTAGATTTCTAAATAGTTCAAATTAATATAATCTGATTCTCCAATCCTTTTTAAGGGGTTTTCTAGCATAACATCAAATCTCGGTATTTTAATTATCTCCGCAACTCGGTTGATGCAACACATCTATCGGGACATCAGATACTTTGATTCCCACAAAAATGTAAATTTTCTCATATAACATACATAGATGTTATATGAGAAAATTTACATTTTATATACACTTGGATTTATAACAAGGAAATAGTGGCGATTTATCACTCGCCGAAGTCTAATTTTTTGCTCTGCCCATAACTGAGTTAGAAATGAGAAAAGTTTCAGTAGACTTACGGCGAGACTGTGCGTGTCGCAGTCTTCGCTGAGGCTGCTCTTGGTACTGGAGGTACCGATGCCAAGGTCGCTCAGGTCGTGCCCATCGTCTTCAGTGTACAGGGCCAACGGGTTTCGCCTTCTGCGCCCCGATCTGTAAACAAAGTGCAATATTAGGATAAAAGTAATCTTAGTGCAGAAACAAATACTTTTATTACATTTTTATTCTATCCTGTGGCTAGGGTTAGAACACGCCCTGGTCTCCTTCTGCGAAGCAGTTATGCTCCAGAAGAGACGAAGGCGCCGGGGTGGTAGAAACGGACGAGCCGCTCCGTCAGCCCTAGTCCAGGGCTCATTGAATAGGGCTAAAGTATCCTCTGCCAGTCGTAAAAGGCGACTAAAAGGGGACACGGATGGGCAGCAGCACGAAATGGCCTCGTGCTGCTGCAAGACAAGAGGGTGAGGGAATCGGAGAAGGTTTATCCTTCTCCGAGGCGTGCTCAGGCGTAGTACCGAGGGACACCGGTGCGTTCCATGGGAGATCCCGGAGTCCCTCCAAATGTACAGAAGGCGGCCACCGAGGGGGTTTTAGTGGGTAAGAACCCCACATAACCCTGTCATATAAAGTGAGTGTCTTTCGAAGATTTCCCCCCCGATACAAAAAAAAGGGTTAGAACACGTCAAACTGAGTGTCAACTGGTGATGTAGTCATTAAACTAACTTAAAGACTTGTTGAAAACATTGTCGCAAAATATTTCGCCGCTAGCCGAATCCTAACCTGCGCCTTCCGGTTCTTCCTACATTTTTAAGTTGCATTAAGCTGTTGAAAAATGTATGTTATAGTTATCAAATAGTCTAATTATGTTATAAAATTATTAAAACTTTCGTGAGGATAGAGATTAGATATTTGACGAAGTATGTAAGTTGATTAGAGGCGTGGAATGCATCAGCTAATCTGTTTTCTCCTCAGGTCCAAATTACTCAACAGAGCTTTAAAAACAACATTTTACTTTTTAAAACCTGATGATGTAACTATAAGAGGCAGAGCAATGTTATTTCTTTATCAATTGTATCAAATATTGTAATCTTCCTAACAACGTGAAGAGGAATTTGAAAATAACCTCGATTACAAATCCCGAACAATAAGAACAGCGGCTTACACAGTGAAGCCTGGCGCTTGACCTGGAAAGTATAACAGTCCGAGCATCCAAATGGCGTGTAAAGCGAAATGGACACAGCGCATTGCAAAAATGTTACACGAACGCCCGTTGAGTCACAACACGTAAAGAGCGTCGGTATAATTAGCGGGCCATAGTAATGTCGGAGTTGCGTCATCGGCTGGACTTGACTCGGTGAGATATATCTGAGTCCGCGGAAGATCGCCAAATAGCAAGTGTTTACAGCGCGCCTTGGCAGCGTAGATGGGGCCTGTTGCCGCCAATCCCTGGTGACACAGGAAATGACAAACGCACGTCCATCCTCGCGATAAACCGTAACGTCGACGTAGTCATACATATCTGTTTACACAACCATGACTCCGCAAACTTCGTCTATCGTGTAAACAATGAATTGACTCGAGCGGAAGCAATCCCACTATGTTTTTTTCTAATGGGATCGGCTTGAGGTGGTGTGTTGTGGGCGCCTAGCCTATACCTCGTTTATGAGGGACTACGCTCGAGGGCTCCCGAGGGAGCCTCATTAATAAATACCGGCATAGACCGCTCTGTCTGTAGTTGGGTTGGTTGTATTAACAATACAAAATATTACATTATAGAAATGAAGAGACTAGATGATTCTAATGAAGTAGTTTATTCCCCGTATTGTTTAAACATAACATCCCCCTTTATATTCATTGATAAATAAATGGAAGCCATAGTGTCAGTATACTTCACATATGTACAGCATAACGATTTTCGTGCCTAAGGCGCCTTCCTTAAAAATGTAGCAAACTATCTACGCTATTAGGGTTAGAGATGATTTTTCCGAAATATATAGAAAAATGGCTCTCCGTTATAAACACTTCTTTTATTGTTTATTATAATAATTTAGAACGCTTCGGTATCTAGTCCACTTGATGCTTTACGATGACAATTTTGTTGACAGCACGCGGAATTTGAAAGTTCATTAGTGGTTGTTTATATACATTATTATAAACATATATGTATATGCATGTATTAGCAGATTAGAGGAGAGCCGAAGACGCGCCGCATTATGGAAACCTGTAAGACCGGTGTTCAAGGCGAATGTCAATCATATGGAAACGTGTGTACTAAACAAGTAATAGTCATGGAACACGCGAAATTCCCGCGCCGATTATGACACAGGGCTGTCAATTGTAGTTAAACTAGATATAAGTAATTGCATCTAAAGAATATATTTAGAATTAATTTATGGCCATAATTTAGATTCAAAACATCAAATTTACATTTCACTTCAATTTTAAACTGTTGTAAAGTTTATGTTTCATTTTAACTGTATGTTATGACTGATGTTAGCCCTTTCAACCCGTAGAATATTAAAGCTTCGTCGAACGCAGAACCAGTGAGCCAGAACCCACGGTTTTGAATAAATGGCCCTCCACAATGGGGGCCGCGCATTTACGCATGCGTGCTTTATCTAATGAAACTCTAAAGGACTCTCAATTAAAAAAAACTATCATTTTAAAATACTAGTCTTTCTTTAACTACTACTACTACTAGTCTCTTCATTTAAATGTATATTGTATTTGTCTTACACATTATTTGCACACACCCAAAACCATGGATATAAATGTGATTTTATAAATGAAAACATACAGTAAAACATATAAAAAACAATTATACTAACAAGTTAACATGACATATCAAAGTGAACGTTCCAAATAGGATTTAGCGTCATTCACATAACAAAGCAAGCAACGGTTTATGCACAGAACACAAGTAATTGAGATTATTATTATTAAGATACCTGTGTTGCACCGTTATCGGCATACGATACGTTACCCCGTCACTGTGGGTACGTAACCTGGCAACCCTTGAGCGTGGAAGAAAAGTGAAAACAAGTGTCGCTTCGCTAAACGCGGCGACGCGATCGGCACTTTCGCCGTGACACTTTTGAGCATTTGAATAGAAAGCACGGACGGTTATACCATACGGAGGCTGCGTTGTATAATTCTTTTTATCGTGCCTGCGCCAAGTTCATTGTACCGCGTACGGCATACCTGTTGACCGACACTTCGCTTTCCCACTGGAGGAACTTTCCTGGATAAACAGCTGCCTATGTCCATATAGAAACTCCATAAACCTATCATCTTTCATTTATCAAACTGGCAAACACACGTTCGAAGGCACAGTGTCTGGGCGCTCGCCTTTAATTCAATATACTCGAGTAACCTGAGTTCGATCCCCGGTGCCGGCACCAATGAAGTTTTTAACTTTAAGTGCTGACTTATCTCGTGCTCCGCGGTGAAGGAAAACATCGTGAGGAAACCTGCATATTTTCGAAATAATAACAAAAAAATATATATCCGCAATGGGGCCGCGTGGTGGACTATGCCCTGATAACCTCTGTATAGAGAAGGCCTTTGCCCAGCAGTGGGACATGTATAGGCTGTTACTTTACAAACACACGTTCACATTATTATTAGAAAATATTGTAGACAGTAAACCTGAGAACGGAAGACCATCGCGCCATTTACGAGTTTCAAACTAGCGACACCAGATAGCGAGCGGACTTCCCTAACCACAATTACTACTTTTCACACACATCCATGTCATGGGCTCATCGACCATAAGTTTCTTTTCGGTGAAAATTAACATGATTAGTAGAACCCTAAATAGAAATAAAGACTGTAATACATCGTACAGTTCATGTCAAGAGGTCGTTTAGTACAAACGGCCAATGGAGTTCACCCCCGACTATTGGGAGATGGCTCACGACCTCACGCAATTGCAATGAACCTCGAACTTTGAACCTGGGCGATTAGCTCACGAGTTTATTAATGCTCCTAAGTTTCATCACAGCAAATTCAGAAATAAGTTTCTAAGAGCGGCAATATATACAATTTTTTAAATTCGTAATGAATCTGTTACTTGCTAGGCGTCTGACAGTTGAAACGTAAAGTTAAACGTGAAACCGATAACAAATGTCCATTCAGATTGGACAATATTTTTCTATCTAATAACACAACATAAGCTTAAACGTTAAACGAATCTTTGTATACCGGATTTTATCACATTTAAGACAACACAACAACCCCTCGACAGTTTGAACACTTTGTAGTATTTATGTTCGCAGCAAAAACCGGGATGTTTGATCTATTAATGTTACTGTGAACTACAATTACGTTTAAAACTATTCAAAGTAAAATTTTCCTTATTTAATATAGGCTTATTTTAAGCTCTTATTGAACGTCTACCACTAGCTCACTAACCTATCCAAAGAAGAACCGGCAAGAAGCTTTACGGTCTTGTTATCGTATTATTTTTTAATAATATAACTTTACAAAATTATCTAATATATAAAATTTTCGTGTCACGGTGTTTGTAATTGAACTCCTCCGAAAAGGCTCGACCGATTTTCGTGAAATTTTGTGTGCATATCGGCCAGGGTGGAGAATCGGACAAAATCTATTTTTCATCCCCCTAAATGTTAAGGGTGGTCCACCCCATTTTTTTTTTCTACCCTACAATTAATTTATATGGCAAAACAACGTTTGCCGGGTCAGCTAGTTTAAGTATAAAATCAGCAGCAGCTACAGAGTATTATAAGTGCAGAAGCAAGAGTCATTTCCATACGTCCTAGTCCAATGTATTTTTCGACATAATTAAATTAGACCCTTTTCATTAGGGTTAACTTTTACAAAATGTTTACACTTAGTTGTATGTGGATGTCAAAGAAAATTAACTTTCGAGGTCTGCGCTAGAGTTCGAGTTTACATTCGAACAATTACGTACAATTTTGTAGGAGTGAAATGGTGGATTTTTGTAAGCGTGCAGCGAACAGAGCATGGGAACGGTGACGGCGCGCGGGCAATTTCCTCCGGAATCGAACCCGGGAAATCACGCGCGCTCGTGCCCTCGACACACGAATCCATTGGCATCCGGTGTCTGGCTTCGAGGTCATTCGTTTCGACTCGCGACCTCATGACTTTCGAACAGTTAATTTTTACGGGAC